ACACTAAAAAAGTATGTTTTCTGTGGCCTTGATGTATTAATGTTAAATATTTTTAAATAAAAAATATTTTTATTTAAGCAAAGTTTGATTTGCATTTTGGGTTAAGTACAATATACCAATTTGGAATGTTGTGTTTTCCTTACCTAAGCAGAAAATCAGCAAACAAGGGATAGAAATCATCAATATAAATGTAATTTATATCAATATTTCTATCCTGCTTGTTTCAGATGTTTCTCTACTTTAACAAACTTGATTCAGATGATTCCAGTTCATTAAAACTCTGTTAGGTTCGCTGAGAAGGGAAATGCTTAAAACACTCATTTATACAATGTATAAATGATAAATGTATCAAAAGCACAACCTACCGTGTGTTGGGGCTGCCTGCGCTATTGACGAAGACTGCTGCTGCAGAAATGTCACTGGCCAGGGAAATGGCCACACCGTTGTCTCGTTCATCTCTGCCTTGTCCGTAAGTACCGCTATCCACCACAGTCAGCGGAACAGCGAGAGATCGGCTGTGCTTGGACAACGCGTCTGGCCCAGGGTGTTGTGTTCACAGAGCGACAGTGCGGCTAGCTTGCTGTGGCTAGCTTGCTAACATCGCGGCTAACCGGGACGAGGCCAACGCCCGGCAGCTAACCGACCTAACAGAGAAAAAACCAGTGGAAAACGACACGTTGGATTGACAGCAAGCAGAGAAAGACAGCGAAGTGGCCTCCAACTGCTGAGCAGGAGCCTTAAGGCAGCGACAGGCAAAAAGAAGCGAAATAATGCCTCCAAAAGGATCCAAGACCGACGGGAGACAAGATGAGGACTATGTTTCACTCACGCAAGTCAAAGAGTTGCTGAGCCAGCAAAAGCAAATGTATATGGAGTTACTCCAACAACAACAGGACAATTTTAAGGGTTTTGTTAAAATCATTGTGGACACTACTAACACCAGAATGGACGCGATGACACGAGAACTACAGGACATTAAAAAACTAGCCTGCAATTTACACAGAAAGACATTGACGATATTAAAGTAGAAAGTGCTAAGTACAAGGCCCGAAGTGACACGGTGCAGTCAGACATATTTAAAGTATGTGAGGGTATGATGACTATCACTGATAAAATGGAGTACCTTGAGGGGCAATCAAGGAGAAATAACCTGGTTTTTGATGGAATTACTGAATCACCAAATGAGACTTGGGCTGAGACTGAGGAGAAAGTGAAAACTATTTTAATTGAAAAGCTAAAACTTTCAACATAAGGTTGACATTGAGAGAGCTCACCGCACCGGTAAACATAGAGGAGACAGACCCAGGCCCATTGTTGTCAAATTTTTACGATACAAGGACAGATCAACTATTCTGCAGAGCACCAAGGCACTTAAGGGATCTAAGATTTTCATTAACGAAGACTTCACGGATGCAGTAAGGAAAAGGAGGGCGGAACTAATGCCGGACTTAAAAGCAGCACGTCAAAGAGGGGACATTGCTTACCTACGTTATGATAAGTTGATCACCCATCCACGTACTAGTACCCCTAAATTATCCAACAATGTATGACAGACAGCCAGACATAGCTGACGTTCACTTCTGAAAGAGAAACATGCAACAGATCACGGCCTATGAGGATATAGAGCTACCCGTATTCCAACACAGAAAATATCATCTGCAAGATATTGAAACTGACATTGATCCTGATTACAACTTCTATAATGTCAGCAATGATAGTTGTCACTATTACAGCGATGATCAGTTCAACAACAGCATTAAAACGGAACAAAAGCTGTCAATAATTCACTTTAATAGCAGAAGCCTTTATGCAAATTTTGACAGCATCAAACAATACCTCCAACAACTTTCACAGACCTTCAATGTTATTGCTTATCAGAAACTTGGCTCAATAGTGATAAGGGCATAGACTTTGAAATCAATGGTTATGAAATGGTTTTAAGAACAGAGAAAACAAAAATGGAGGGGGAGTAGCTTTGTATGTTGACAAGAAGATTAATTATAAGTTGATCGAAACAATGTCAACTGTGATGGACAACATGTTTGAATGTGTGACTATAGAAATACTCGTGGAAAAAAGGAAAAATGTCTTAGTGAGTTGCATTTATAGAGCCCTGGATCAAACATTGAAGTACTCAACAACTGGATAGAAGAAAAATTTATAACAATTAATCAAAAAATAACATTTTTTTGTGGGGATTTCAATATTGACCTTCTCAATCCAAATAAACATAGAATGACTGAAGAATTTATTAACACCATGCTCAGTTTAAGCCTGTATCCTAAAATCACCAGGCCCAGTCGCATTACATTGCACTGCGCTACCTTAATTGATAATATTTTTACAAATGTGCTGGAAAATAATTTAACTAGTGGAATATTAATGAATGACACAACTGATCACTTACCAGTGTTCATAGTCTACGACTGTAAGTGCAAAACAGACGATCAAAAAATAGAGACACATTACAGACGGGTTACGTCTGAAGAGACACTAAAAGCTCTAGAAACTGAGTTGTTAGCCTATGATTGGACATTAATATATAAAATGAATGACGTGAATTCAGCATATGAAGAATTTTTAAAAACATTTAAAATATTATATAACAAGCACTGCCCAATCAAACAATATAACAGGAAAAGTAATCAAAAAAATGAAACAGTGGATCACAAAAGGAATACAAAAGGCATGTAAAAAGAAAAACAAACTTTATAGAGAATTTCTAAAACATAGAACGTCTGATTCAGAAAACAAATACAAGAAATATAAAAAATAAGTTAACTAATATTATAAAAACATGTAAAAAGGACTATTATCATACTTTACTGGATAGGAATAAAAACAACATTAAGGAAACATGGAATATTTTAAATAGAGTTATTAGAAAATCTAACAATAACAACTATCCAAACTATTTCATAGATAATGAACAGAATATTACTGATTTGAAAAGTGTCGTCAATAAATTTAATACATTTTTTGTTAATATAGGACCTCAATTAGCAGAAAAAATACCGACTACAAAAACTGCAACTCAGCAATATCTAATTGAGAATAATCCCAGCTCCTTATATCTCAGCCCTGTACAAGAAGAAGAAATCATAAACATTGTGAATAACGGTAAAAATAAGACTTCCACTGATTGTGATGATCTGGACATGAAAACTATTAAAATAGTAATTAAAGGTATCTCTAAACCACTAACTTATATTTGCAATTTATCATTTCAAACAGGATTATTTCCCAACAAAATGAAAATAGCTAAGGTCAAACCAATGTATAAAACTGGCGACAAACACCTCTTCACTAACTACAGGCCTGTGTCTCTTCTCCCACAATTTTCTAAAATCCTGGAAAAACTATTTAAGAAAAGACTGGAACAATTCATAGAAAAACATTCACTACTTATCAGCAGTCAATATGGATTCAGAGCAAACCGGTCAACATCACTGGCCATAACTGACTTAATAGAAGAAATAACCAACGCAACAGATAGTAAAAAACTGGCAGTAGGGATATTTATAGATCTAAAGAAAGCTTTCGATACAATAAATCATGAAATCTTACTTAAAAAATTAGAACGCTATGGAATTAGGGGAGTAGTTTCTGACTGGATGAGGAGTTACTTAAAGAGCCGGAAACAATTTGTGAAATTGGGAGAGGTGGAATCTGATTGGCAGGAGACTGTCTGTGGAGTACCACAAGGATCAGTATTGGGACCAGTTTTATTTAATCTTTATATAAATGATATCAGTAAAGTGTCCAATGTATTAAAATTTATCTTATTCGCTGATGACACAAATATTCTAGCCTCTGGCGACAATTTAGAACATCTTCTCTCAACAGTCACTTCAGAGATTAGTAAGTTAAAGATATGGTTTGACCATAACAATTATCCCTAAATTTGGACAAGACGAAAATCATGGTCTTTGGGAACTGTTTAAAAATACTGAAATCCAAGTTCAAATAGAGGACGTAACTCTACAAAGGTTTTTGCTAATAAGTTCCTCGGTTTAATAATAGATGACAAAATCAGTTGGAAACCTCATATTAAAAACATTTACAGAGTAAACTCAGTAGAAGTATATCCATATTGGCTAGAGCTAGACATGTATTGAATGCTAAATCACTTCATATTCTATATAACTCCCTGATTTTACCATACCTATCATATTGCTGTGAAGTGTGGGGAGTTAATTACAAGAGCTCTTACATCCGGTAACCGTCCTACAGAAAAGAGCCATTAGAATCATCCATAATGTCGGTTATTATGACCATACAAATCCGCTTCATAAAATCCAGAATTCTCAAATTCGACGAGCTTGTAGAATTTAAAATGGCTCAATTTATGTTCAAAATATCTAAACAGCTGTTACCTGAGCACATACAGAGCACGTTTTCTGAAAGAGAAGGGGGGTATAACTTGAGAGGTCACTCAAACTTCAAGATCCGCAAATTCAGAACAACAAGGAAAAGCTTCTGTATTTCAATTACAGGTGTAAAGTTATGGAATAAGTTACATGAAGATTAAAACAAAGCAACAGTTTAACGCAATTCAAAAGAAAGTACAAAGAGGTAATTTTCAATAGATACACATACGTGTAATAGAAAGCAATAAGGTGTATTGCAGATAACTTGGTGTAAGGGTTAAGAAAGACAAACCAGTATAAAATGGGAAAATGAATAGGTAAATATTAGTAACTGTTACTTCTGACTGACACTTTGATTTTGATTTTTTTAATGACAGTAGGATTCTACAGTCTCAAGTGTTTAGGGGTAGGAGTTATAAGTTTCACTTCTTCCACCCCATTTTGAGCATGATATGTCAACTGAAACAAAAAATCTGTATTTTCTCTTCTTTCTTATGCACTTCTTGTTACTGTGCACTATTTTATTTTATATTTGTATCATGTTCGAATAAATTTCATTTCATTTCATTTCATTTCAATGTGTTTCAATTAGTGATGAATTACTGACACAAATATTATTTTCAGCTTTATTTAAGAATTTCTTAAACCAGCCACAGCTGAGACAAAGTGCGGAACATCAGAGATAAATAAGAAAAAAAGGAAACATCAAATAAAATGAAAATGCTAAACACACCACAATGTAAAGGAATTAAAAACATAAAAATAAATCAGTACAGATTGAATCAAATACAAGTTTGGTAAAATAAAGTCTCAGTTGGGTTAAGAGGTCAAGGAGGAAAGAAGTTAATCAAACCTTGAAACCCTGGATGGCTATTTTATTTAAATACATCAGAAATGTTGTTTTTAAAAAAATCAAAAATAAATTGTATTTCTCAAACTTAGACAAGATTTTTTCCAACCTGGAACAGTCAATATTTTCACCTTGTTAATCTAATTAAAACATTGAGAAGAAACAGCAACACAAAATCCTGTTTATACTGTAAAAATCCAAACACATGAACAAATTTACTGTAATTTTAAATCAGTAGACATTAAACAACACACTACTTAAGTATCTGATCTCTGCTCAGCAGCAGCTTCTATAACGGTAAACAAATGGACACTGAAGACCTAATTTGGGACCAGTCAAGTACATTTTCCGGATCACATCCAAATCCAGCATAAAGTGGTTTGGTGAATGTGGTGTGGAAGGTGTGGAGGTGGATCAACGTGTCAAAGGAGACAACATAGTAGGACAGAATACCAGCAGGCTGGTCCACATAGACGCCTATTCTGTCATAAACATGGGAGGGCAAACGTATTTCCTGTTTTTCTTTGATATGGAAGACAGCAAACTTGTTGAGGAAGCATGACAGAGCCCAGGACCTGTCATTTCTTCCGAACAGAGATTCCAAGTTGTTTCCTTTTCTTCTGATTCCTCTGTAGCTTACAGCTACATAAACCAGTCCTTTCAATTTCACCTCCCAGTAACAACGATCAGGCAGAGCATGTTTGCACAGCACCTGGGACCAGCAGTCAAATCTTTCACTGTGATCTGGATATTCATGGTAACATGAAAATACTTTCCTCCTGCATTTGGACATTTTGAGGTTTTGGTTTATTGTGTTTGAGTCCAGCTCAAGTACACAGGTATCTGATGGAGAAAATCAGAAACAACAGCTGTTAAATTCACAGAAACAAAGATTCAGTTCTAATGATGCATGTGACGTTAATCTGTCTGTGTAAAAAAATAAAAAGTAAGTAAAAATAAATAAGTAAATAAAAACTAGGTAGATCAAATAAAATTTTAATAAAAACTTATGTCACTAAAACAATTAAAAGGTAAATATAAAAAGTAAATAAATCAAAATAGTGAATAAAAAAATTTAAATAAAATAAAACAATAAAATTAATTACTAAATTGACTAAATAAAAAAATAATTATTTCCCACTAACATAAAAACATTATTCAAACAGACCAAGATCGTGATCATACACTTTGTTCCAGTTGTTGTCTGGAGAAGAGATTCTGACTTCACAGTTAGAAAAATCCTGTTTATTTTAAGCTGTTCATCCATTTATTGGCTTCACTGGCAAATAAGTCAATCAGAATATTTTCATTGTTATTTTGAAATTATATTAAATATATTCTAGAAATATAGATATATTTGTAACATACATGTATTAATGTTGTGTATTGTTAAATAATAAGCAGAGCAATCTCATTTACAAAACTACTCAAGAGGGAGGAGAGCGGTTTTGTGTTATATTTTGAGGGAACTGGAACCAAGGTCAGAATTCCTACTGGGAAACTGGGAGGAATTCCCACAGACCCCAGTTACAATGTGTAAAGCGGATTTTGAGTTTCAATTTGGCCGTTCTTCGCATAAAAGGTAAACTGTGGTAAAAACACGTTTATTATGCAATATACACATTTAATATTGCATCTTAAATTAGGGATATTCTTTTCCGATCATGTGATCGGAAATCGAGCTCGATCATTTGGTTTCAGACTTGATCGGATTTTGACGTCACTTCCCTATCGGATATTGATTATAAATCCAAATAGGAAATAGAAATAATAACAGTTAGTATCCGCCGTTAATCATGTGGCGACACTGTCTCAAAACAGCACCAGCGCGGCACTTTGAAATTAAGACTTTAACTGGAACATCAAACTCAGCTCGCTGTTCCCACCTTCCAGGGAACTGGAACATAATTAACAAGTTGAAGATTTCTCCTAAGAGTTAAAAAAACAGAACAAGCTGTTTTTTTAAGTCATAGAAGTTACATTTTGATGTATGAATTACCTTTTAGATGTTTTGAAAGTCAGAGTGATCATAGAAACTTACATTTCCTGATGTCAGGCGACAGCCTCTGCTCTCCACAGTGGTCCAACCTAAAACAAGAAACCCCCATCAGCTCAGTGAATGAGGCTCATCAAAACGATGAGAACTTTCACTTTCAACAGGCCGCCATGTTTGTCCACATACCGAAGTGTCTGTAGTCTCCAGGTTGGGTGCTCTAGTCCAGCGATTAACTGCTCCATCCCTGACTCTCCTGGGTTGTTGTGACTCAGGTCAAGTTCTCTGAGGTGGGAGGGGTTGGTGTTCAGAGCTGAAGCCAAAAAATCACAGCCAGCCTCCGCAATCAAACAGTTAGACATCCTGCAAGAGTACAAAGAAGCTTCATTTTAAGAAACTGAAAATAACAAAAGAAACAGTCATACTGTTAAAATAACAATAAATAGCTGTTTGTTTCAGCATTCAATGAGTCCATCCATTTTCTAACATCCTTATCCTTAGTGGGGGTGGGAGGTGCTGGTGCCTTTCTCCAGCTAACATTCGGGGCGAGAGGCGGGGTCACCCTGGAAGGTCGCCAGTCAGTCGCAGGGCAACACAGAGACAGACAGAACAAACAGCCAGGCACACACCTAGGGAGAATTTAGAGACCAATTATCCTAACAGTCATGTTTTTGGACTGTGGGAGGAAGCTGGAGAACCTGGAGAGAGCCCACAAATGCACAGGGAGAACATGCAAACTCCATGCAGAAAGACCGGGAATCGAACGCAGGACCTTCTTGCTGCAAGGCAACAGTGCTACCAACTGCGCCACTGTGCATTCAGTAAGTGCTTCTTAAAATAAAATAATATTTAACACCTTTGCAGTCCATCCAGGATTTTGTGATTTACAATATTTCTGTATAATGTATGATGTTAAATGTCACTTTTTATTGAAAGCCACAGACTGTATCGAGCACATACTACAACTTGACATTAAATAAGGTTGAGGCAGCAGTCACTTGAACGCAATGTTTTTGGAAAATTTTGAAAAAAATTTGCACTAAAATCAGAAAAAGTTTAATTTTGTGTGAATTTTGCAAGAGTTTTACGGATTTGTGTGAAACTGGAGGGACTTTTTGATGTATTTGAAGTGTGGAGGGCCACATAAAAAGCTCCAGTGGCCCAGATTTGAGCACATTTAACAGACGTGTTCTTCATCACAATTAAACCGGTGCAATGACCTGAGACTTTCCAGTTTACAGTTTGGACTCTGCAGCCCAACAGAGAGCAGCTTCACTCCTGAATCCTGCAGGTCACTGTTGCTCAGGTCCAGTTCTTTCAGATTGGAGGAATGAGAACTGAGAACCAGAGAAAGAGCTTCCAGGGATCGCTCTGATAATCTGCAGCCTGTTAACCTAGAAAAGAAAAGTTTCGAGAAATCACTGTGGTGTTCTAATTTTACACAGTGACAGTTTTAGCAAATATGTCAAAAAAAATGACCTTGTTTTTAAAAGTTACACTCTGCAAATTTCAACTTTCAAAAACAAAGTTGAAATTTGTCAGCAAAAATAAGAACAATAACCTTTGGATATCTGCTAGTTTGTTCCAGTTTTTCTCATCCAGCATTGTCCCTCAGTGACCTTGTAACTTGAAACTTTGTAAATTGGCCTTTCACAATAAATTTTTGCTCCAAGTGAAGTAATTACAAAAACTCATGAAAGTTAAATTTATTCAAATGTTCCTGCCTATTTACATTCTGATTGCTGTATTACATACACATTTTAAATAAACTCCCAAATGTAATTTTCTAAGATTCACTGTACAATAATTGCAATAATCTTGTATGATTTTGTGTTTATGCCTGTTATTCTTGATATTAAAATATGTTTGATGAGCTGAAACAATTTTGTGGGACAAAAACATTAAAAGAAGAAAGCTTTTAGAGAGAAATATTTGAAACAACACTTCCACATCATAATTAAACCGGTGCACCAACCTGAGACTTTCCAGTTTACAGTTTGGACTCTGCAGCCCAACAGAGAGCAGCTTCACTCCTGAATCTTGCAGGTCACTGTTGCTCAGGTCCAGTTCTTTCAGATTGGAGGAATGAGAACTGAGGACCAGAGAAAGAGCTTCCAGGGATTGCTCTGATAATCTGCAGCCTGTTAACCTAGAGAAAAAAAAAAAACAGTTTAACTTAGAATTTTTCAAGAACTTAGCACGGTTTACTAGATGTTTTCCCCTTTAAAATAAAGTTAATTTGTTCAGCAAAAATTAGAATAATAGTGTCTACAATATGGCTGCAACTAACAATTAGTTTTGGCTTAATTACTGATCTGAGTATTTTTGTTCTCTCAGAAAATAGGTGCTTCTAGAGTCTATATACTCCAGTTAACAATTCATGGTATACTAACTTAGTTGATAATTATTTCAATAATTGATTCATCATGATTAATCTGATTAGTCGTCTGATTAATTGAACTGTATAACCTTTGGAAAATCCTGTTTGTTCCAATGTATCTTCCCCAGTATTGTCCCGAAGTAATGTGAGAATTGAAAACACTTAATGTAGAACTTTGGAAATTGGCCTTTCACAACCAATTCCTCCTACAAATAAGTCAATGAGAAAAACTCATCAGTTTTTTAACATACTCCTCTTTGTACTCACAAAGCTTTTCTGGAAGCTGCCAAGACAGGCATGAGCTGCAGCAGAACCTCCTCAGACGCAGAGTATTTGTTCAGGTCAAACTCATCTAGATGTTTTTCTGATGACATTAAGATCAAGTTCAGAATTGACCACTGATCAGGTGATATTTTATCCAAGGCAAGACGTTGTGATCTCAGGCACTTTTGGATCTCCTCCACGACAGAGTCATCCTTCAGCTCATTCAGACAGAGAAACATTACTATGATCTTTTCTGGTGATGTACTCTCGCTGATTTGTTTCTTCATGTACTTAATTATTTTCTGGTTGGACCATGAGGTACTTCTTGTGGGTGGCAGCAGGTTATGTAGAAGAAGCTGATTTGTCTGTAGAGAAAGACCCATGATGAACCGTAGGAACAACCAGAGCTTTCCATTTGGAGTTTTCAAGGTTTTCTTCAATGCTGTTTTATGAAGTTTTGTTGTCGAGGTTCTTGCCAAACAGGGGAGGCAGTTCTCAACTGTCAGCCATGACTCACGCATCACATTTTTGTTGTTGGAAGTGATGACATGAACAGCAGCAAGAAACTGCTGAATGCTGGACTGAGTAAAACAAAAAATTATCTTCTGGTAATTGTCTGACGTCTTTCCAGAAAATGTCTTGACGATCTCTCTGAACCCTTCGGAGCGCCCTGATGTCATAAGGCCACAGCTTCTTAAGTCCTCTTCTGTAGATATGTGGTTATCTCTGAGGAGCTGCTTGAAGGCCAGTTTGGCCAGAGACTTGATGCACTTTCTAGCATTATAGTTTTCCTTCATGTGGTTGATCTGAACCACCAGGAACTCTACGAACATCTCCGTCAGGGTGCTGGGAAGAGCTCCCCTCTCTCTTGTTTCCCACAGGTTCTCCAGAACCACAGCAGTGATCCAGCAGAAAACTGGCATGCAACACATGAAATGAATGATTTTTAATGTCTTGATGAAGGAGATGATTTCGCTGGCCCGTGGCTCATCTCTGAATCTCTTCCTAAAGTACTCCTCTTTCTGCGGGTCGTTGAACCCTCTGAGCTCCGTCACCAAGTCAACAAAATTAGGAGGGATCTGACCGGCTGCTTCGGATTGCGTGGTTATCCAGAGGTAAGCAGCAGGAAGCAATTTCTTCAAGATGAGCTTAGTAAGAAGTACTTCTACTCTACTTGACTTTCTTACGTTCGATTTATTTGTCCCGCTCAGAAAATAAAACTTCAAGAGATCCTGATCCAGACCATCGATGATAAACAGAAGTTTGAATTCACTTCTGGTTTCTCTCACATTTTGTAAATCTGTGAAGATTTCGCTAAGATTCTCCGCCGTGATGCCGCTGGACGGCATTCCCGGAACAACTGTGTGAATTAGCTCTGCCAGAGTGAACGTCTCTTCTCTCCATAAACACAGCCGACGAGCATCAAAAGGGAAAACGAGATGAAATTCTTGATTGAACCTTTTTTCAGCCCAATCTAGCATAAACTGTTGCACTAGGAAGGATTTGCCAATGCCAGCACATCCTTTGGTCACCACTGTTCTGCTGGATTTGCCTGTTTTGGACAGATGTTGAAACATGTTGCTGATATTCACTGATTTAGATGTTCCTGTTTCTGAGCCTGTGACCTTATGCTGACCCCGTTCATAGGTGATGAACAGCTCTTGATCCAGGTAGCATAGAGTTTCCTCGTCATGCTTCTCCAACCAATCATCTTTCACAGATAGGAACATGTTCTGGAGGTTGGACTGCAGCACGGCCGGGTTTGATGTGGTTTGTGGACAAGGCAGTGCCGACATCTTCACACCTGCCAAAAACCAACAAGTCCTGAGAAATCTGGACGATTGCCACCATAAATACTTACAGACACATGAAACATGTTTTTTTCTAAACCTTAGGATAACTTCCAATATGATTATCCTAAGATTGTGGTATAAACAGTTTTAAATGTAAAGCCTGTAAATTTAGATGGTTTTCTGATTATTTAAAGTACTTTCTCGACAGTCACTCGAACTCACAAACATGCACACAATCATTCACCAATATGCAAACGAGAAGGCAATTGTAAGTGCCTTGTGCAGGGCACACCAATTATAAAGAACCTTGTTTTTAGTTTAAACTCTTTTAAAGAAGATTACCTTCAGGTTGCTTTGTGATTGACAGAGCGTCTGATGGATAAAGAAATAAATCTGCTTCATTCTCTTCATCACTGCTGACCTCCACAGAGACAAGAGAAAACTGATTGTTTGGTGTAGAGTCCATTAGTCCTTCAGCTGCTGCAGATTTGGCAGGATCTGGCTGATTGTTTGGTGTAGAGTCCATTAGTCCTTCAGCTGCTGCAGATTTGGCAGGATCTGGCTCATCAGACGGCTGTGGTGAAGGTGGATCAGGAGAGTCGAGTGGCTGTTCCTCAATTGACTCAGTGTGTTGGTTTCTTTCTCTGTTGGATGCCAACGTGTTCTTGGGCAGGACCTCAACTCCCTCATTGCCAACAATGACCTCATGACTGCAGGTTTCTGTTGGAGAAACCTCCTCTGAAGCCTTGGATGCAGCATTTGACAACCTTTGTACCAGATCATTCCTGTTTATCCTCTGTAAAACCATTCTGGCCACCTCCACACATTGACGGCTGTAGGTTTGCACCATCAGGTCCACGGTATCCTCACGATCTGAACTCTCCAGCTGGCATTTTGGGATGGATGAGATGGTTTTCAGGAACTCTGCCTGCTGCAGGTACCACTTAAACTTCTTAAATTCTCTGTCTCCCAAGTCCTCCAAAGATTCTAGCAGCTCTATTGCTCCTGCCATCGTTCCTCACACTCGGACCATGTTGAGTTTTTGTCTCAGAGGACAGTCGAAGGTCCAACTCCACTGCATTCCTACCTGTTGAGTCAAGGCATGGATGGCGGACAGCGTTGAAACAGGAACCAGAAACAGTTGTTATGTTTTCACATTTAAAACCAAATACTTTTTATCAGACATTATCATCTATATTGTTTTCATCTCATTGGAAATTCTGTATCAAAATGAGTTATCTCTAGAAAAAGAATTTAAATAAATTGACCACAGGGACATTTTACGCTATGCTGTGTCTTGTTATTGCCATTATAGGGGTATTCATGCTTGTAGTCAGATTGCCTATTTACAATTTTTGTCTTTTGGAAATTGTTTTGAGTTTCTTACGTTTTTTGACATTTCAAGCTCAGAAATCTCCAAGTTTTTTCTAGAAAATTTCTACATTTTTTGATGAAAATGTATTCTTTCTTTTCTATATATAACCATAACACACCGTTGTGCTTCATCCGTCATTATTACTTGAACATTTGGATACGGTGGGCAGTAAACACACCGGACTCATGCGTCGAAGGATTTCTGGATCGTAATCGGCCTTCAAAGGAGACGCTTGAATTTGGACAAATTCAGCCTGAAGGAAAAATCATGCATGCTTCTCACTGCAGGAAAAATAAAGTTTGGACAACAATGTTCAAAAATTAAAAGATCCTGTTCTTTTCTGTTTTACCCTTGCCAGTAGAGGGCAGTGTAAACAGTGCCTTAGTAAGGAGTGGAAGAAAATATGGAGAGAGAAATAAAGACTATAAAATCAGTAAATAAGCACAAATTAATTTATGCTTATTTACTGGGAGGGTGTAATGTTGGAATTGCCAGAATAAATCTATTTGGACTATCTTAATAAATTATTTTACAAATTAGATTTTTACTAAAAGAAATGTCTCTATGGCTGTCACTTTTCAGGTTTGTTATAATATCTATAACAGCCACGGAAATGTAGAGTGGTCATCTGAAAGACTGAATTTTAACCGTTTTTACCCTGTAAGTTGTTCTGCATTGACTGCAGCAAAGGAAAATAGTTGACTGAAGGTTTACCGTCTGCGTTTCAAAGTGCTCACACATTTAAGTCGCTTTCAAATCATAATTTCTCTGCCTGTCTCTTCATCTTCACAGCCATCAGGTGGACATATTGCATAAGAGATGAGAGGAAAAGACTGCTCTTTATAAGTAATCTATCATTCAGCATCAGTTCCTGTTTTCACAGGATTTTCTTCTGATTTGCAAAGCAGAAATTATTTATATTTTATGTCTCCAGTATCATTTTCTGTAAAAATAGCTAAGTAATAAAAATCTTACCCGCAAAGTTTTGCTTTACAGAAACCGTTGTAGGAAAGCTCAGCAAAATCTTATTTCTTTCAGGAAGCTTAAATTAGTTTTTTCAGACAGAGCCACATCCTGTCTCTGCAACAGGAAACAGACACGATTGCTTCTGAGTGGCATTAATTGTTAGGTAACGCAGGAAGCTACCAACCCACCGGCATGCAGAGAGATTTTCAATAAAATGCTGACCAGTTGTTTTATTATATTAACCTAAATAATTAAATATTTATGTTTATTTCTCTCTAGGCTTGATATGAATCACTGATAAAACTCTCTGATGTTAAATAGCATAACATCAGATCAGCTTCGTTTCATCCAAACGTTTGTATAGTTATGATTTTATTCTGCTTTCCATCAAGATTTATGACAAAATTCAGAAATGAGACGCCAAAGCTTTCTAGATCCTTCATCAATAATAGGATGACTTTATTTAAAATGAATCCATACTGTTTATATCAAAGAAATTAAATCTTTTCTCCACAAGGCCCCAATACATTCATGCATATTCAAATAAAAATACTGAATACTACTGAATCCATGCAAATTTATATTCAGATGATTTTACATTATAAGACAAATCATTGTAAGATGCATTCACAAGAAATTTTGTCATGGCAAAAACAAGTGATGCGATGAAAGTGAAATCTGTGTTTTTGGTTTTTAAAACAAGAACCACTGAAGGAAACGATATGAAAACCTCAGAGGAAGAAACTGAGCGCAACTTCAAAAGAAAAATGGACCAGCATCAGATCTGAACGTCTGTCGGATTTCAATGATTGCCTCTAACTTTATTGGCTCAGGCTTATTTCATGGATTTCTGCTATCCTGGTGTTCTCTGCGTCTTTTTAACTCCAAGCAGGGACCACTGAGCTGACGGCAGAAAGAACGGTTGCAACATTTCAGAAACAACATCAGCACCACAACAAACAGAACCAAAACAGAAATAATAGTTAGGATGATGATGACCTGTTTGGACTCTACAGGGCTGCTTGGGACTGGTGCCAGCGTGGGGTCAGGCTCTGGTGCCAGTGGGAGGTCAGGCTCTGGCACAATCATTTGCTTTTCACACGTGTCTCCATAGTAGCTGTCAGGACACTCGCAAAACCACTCGTTGGACCGCAGCAGCCTCTTGCATGTCCCATTATTCTTACATTGATTGTTAACACAGACAGGTAAGAGTCTGGAGTAATGAACAGAAGTCCAACTGTCATAGCCGCTCCAGGAACATTTCACTCGGTGAAACGGTGTTGGCACCTCTATAAATTGATCTCCATACGCAACGAGTGAAACTTTGGTATATTTTGTCAAAGGGATAGTAATTTTCTCATCATGATCCTTTGGGAAAAAAATATTACTGCATCTCTGTGCAGATATAAAGAATTTTGAAATTGTCTTAGGTTCACACTTCTTATTTTCAAAACAGTCTGTGGCTGTAGTCTTCACCTCTTCGACATGTGTCGTGTCTGCCTTTACAGTGTACTCTACAGCAACTACGAGGTCGCCACTGCTGAAGGTAAACTCGGCATTAAGCATAAGATTTTTGTTCTGACTTTTGTCAAACACCACCACCACCCAGTTGTACCAGCTGTACTTCTTGTCCAAAGCTTCTTTCACCTGAAGAGCGAGGGAGTTTTGGTCAGAACCTTGATCTTTGGTGATCTCTTCCACATCTTTCTTTAAGTATTGCTTGTAGTTGGTGAGACAGAACTCCACAGATGATAACTGAGCTTCAGAGACCTTCTTGAACATCTGCCCAGGTTCAGCTGCTTTGCTTTTGACACCAGTCAGTTTCCAGTAGAACTGGTTGAGTATCATCCCTTTCCAAAACAAGCTGCTCAAGTACAGGTTATATTTGCTGATCATATAAATGTCACATTTAAACTTCTTCTTCAGCAGACTGTTGAGGTTTTCACTCAGAGACGTGCTGTCCACTGTCAGGTAGCGGTAAAGGTTGGACACACTGGACTCAGCTCCTGAACTTTCATAGTAACTGGTGAAAATTTTAATTTTTTTAGCTGTTTCTTTGGGACTTTGTGATTCTGTTCTATGCAGAAACTCGCCAAGCTTCTCCCAGGTGTTGAGGATAGTAAGTTCGTCTCTGGAATAGATGCTGGCATAATTGAACCATTCTATGTCTGTGGCCAGGTTGGAGATCTTAATGGACAGAGAGTCCAGTTTCTGGTTCACCTCAGCAAAACCTTTCTGTACCTCATTCAGCACTGGATCATCGAGAGGGATAAAGGCCAGGACCATGTTGACGACAGAGAAGACCACAGCTCCAACTCCTGGTGCAAAACTAGCGAAGCTGGAGATGCCTTTCATTACATCTGACAGCTTCTTGGAGTCCATACTTCCCATGGCATCTTTGAAAAGAGACAGAGATTCTTTTGCAACATTTAGGGTCTTCTCTGTTTTCTCTCTACTTTCATATGGCAGCTGTATGCCGATTGCTGAGGTTGAAAGAGCTGATTGGACAGAAAAAGTCGCCCAGTGAAGAAGGATCATGGAAGCCAACAGCATCGAAGCTGACCTCTTTGGAGCCATAGCTGAAACACATAAACACAACCATCAGTACCATTGTATAAAAACCCAATTAAGCCCAATTTGGATTAAATTATGACTTAAAACTGACATTGTTAGCAGAATAATTTTAGATGATTTAGTTAACCTAATGCAGCATGTCTGTGTTTTAGAGTAAATAAAGGTTTCAAAAAGCTTACTGTGTCAGTCGACCTGCAGAGGGAGCAGAGCTGGGATTTGGTCCAGTGAGGTTTTCCAGAGGTGATTTGGTCAGCAGCTCCTTCAAGTTGTGCAGCTTGAGGTTGTGCTTCAACAGGAATCCAGCAGGCATTTTATAGGACGCTGGATCGCCTGACCTCTTCCTCTGACTTACATTTTCCATCTTGCAATACGTGTGACGTGATAAACACCAATATTTACCAAGCTGTGTAAAGGTTAATCTTATTTAGGGAAATCAGGTGACTCACATGATTAAACGAGCCAGATTTGATTGAATAAAACTTTGAAAAGCTCAGAGGGGTTTTCTTTTTGTAATTTCAGAATGAAATGTACAGGTTAGGTTTGTGGTACTTTTGTCAGGTCCTGGATTATTTGGGGGTTTTATTCTAGTTTCAACATTCGGTGTTCCTGAGTCTCTTTCGTTTAATCATATCATCCTTTTTCTGTTTTCCTTCAGTTCAATGCTCTCTTGGTTCATTATGTTTATTTCTTTTTTCTAGTTATTCTTTGTAACTTTAGTTATGTCTACTCATTCTCTAGTGTTAGACTTATTCCCTCGCCCTCTGTGCTACTTTCTCTCTCTCTCCTCACACCTGCAGCCAGGTAGCCAATCAGAACAAGTCCAATTTTTGATTTATGCTTTCAAATTTACTTTGATTTATGTTTTTTTGTTCTCCTTCATTCAGAGGAAATTATGAGTTAGACCAAATGTCTCAAACTCATGGCCCAGGGACCACGGTAGCTTTCTTTTTAAGAAAAACTTACTGAATGCTGAAACAAACAACTATGAATTAATATTTTACCATTTTAATGGGTTTTATCAATACATTCTGGCAAAACCGTCCCTTTAAAATATGGCCCAAAATAAAAATGAGTTTGACTCGCATTATGCAGCTTGTTGTTCACATACATGCATAACCAACCATAAATACTAGAGTAAATACATAATACAAAGTAACAAGGAGAAACAAAGACCCGCCGTTTCCTGTCCGTAATCCAACTTCCTTCTGCTTTCATGGTCCTCAGCATTTATAAAGTTTCTTTTAGTTTCCACTTTTACTGTGTATTGTACTTTGTTGCTGGTTTTAAATGTATTATATTAACAGAATATTTAGATTTCTTCACTTAAGGCTGACCTGTAACTGCATTCATCTACATAAGAGACAAAATAAAACAAGCAGTGTTTCTTTCTCGATGTAAAAAATGTCACATATTCAGGGTCTCTTGATTGAGCTCACCTCACCTTTGGCTGGATCAACTGTTCAAATTCAGTATCACATTTTCTTTCCAAGCAGATCAACATAGTTTAGGAAAATGTATTTTAGAAAATCTTGTCACCTCATGAGAGGCATGAATGAAGGTCTCTGTGTGCAAAATGAAACCAAATTTGGAGACGAGGAAGGAGCGAAGGCCAAGACAAACGTGAGATTTCTTGCAGGGAACGTATTCCAGGGAAATCACTGAGCAAATATGCACAATAAATAAGAAGTCTAGTCATATATTCTATTTCAGTTTGGGGAGATGTAGCAAAACTTAAAAGAAAATTAAATCATACATTAAGTATGAATCAAATACATCTGATGTAACTTCACCTTTATCCCAAGTATAGAAAATATTTGAAAGTAAGAAAAAACGCTGCGAATGAATGATTTGGTGCAATCTGCTTTGTTTCCTTAAATAGAAAACACTTTATTTTTTTTAAACTAGTTTTAACTGGGATGAATTACCAGTAGGTAGACTTGGTTACAGTTTTGACTAACACACAATAAATATAACATGATTAAAAGTGACTAAGTGCTCAGTAATTTAAAATATAGAAAACATAAAAACAATCAAATAAAAACATGCTGGGCTAAAAACAGTATCTTCATTAGTCAGGATTATTACTTTCATCCATTTCAGCAACAAAGCGGTTCATCATAAAAACATCAGAGCCACCAATTATGAAACAGGCAGCAAACATTACATTTTGTCAAACGTTTCATCAATAAACATCAAAATAATAATTTAAAAAGAAAAAAAAAACAACACTAAGACTCTGCTGAGTTGAATTTTGAAAGCTTGTGGCAGCAGGAACAAAATTGGTTTTATTCTTAGATTTTTCACATTTGTTAATCAAATGTATCCAAATGAGAAGAACCTGAAGTTCAGAGGTCAAGACTCGTCTATTAAGACTGATGTCGTTAACAGATAACATGAGCTGGCACTGTATAAGTGGAGTGAATTACTGCAGCTGTGTTTGGACTCTTATTTTCTCTGGTCCTCTTCCAGATCAGACCACTGACGACATGTTTACCTGCAAGGCGAGACAAACTGGGTACAAAAACACACAACTGAGCATCTAAAGAAGTCACTGAGTAAATATGTAGAAGAGAAAAAATCCCTCTATTAATACTGTGGAATGAATGACGACATGTTTATCTGTATGCTGTCTTTCAATGTTATTTAAAACATTTTCTTTATCAACCTGCCAATCATCATATTTTGTTCAAAGGTTAACAATATCTTCCTTTTTACTGAGGTATCACCTCTTAGTAGGTTTGCTTATGGCAGGCCGTTTTAACATTAAATCGCCTTTATCCGACAATCTGTAATGATATTATAGATTTATAAAGTTCAGTTTTGACTAAAAAAATGTTGACTGTCCTGAATGGAAACTTAAAGGTAATATCTGTATTTACGTTCTGAATAGTAAGAAGGATAATTTAATGTATTTTCACTAGATTTGTTAGTTGAAGCGTCACACTCTCATAAAAACATATGAATATGAATGACAGTAATTATTCATATCCAGTTTGGTGTAAATCAGAGCATGTTTGATTTAGGTTGCATTCACACAAGCCCTGTTCAGTCCGTTATAACACAACTTCAGTTTATTTATCAGAAAGCCTGCTTCATTTGGGGAGGTGTGAACGTCTATCAAACTCTGATGTGGACCAGAAAACTGATGTCTGATCTGCATAGAAACCTCGTTTTCGGTTCACTTCAACGCTGCATCAGTTTTGAAGTGAACACTGAAAGCAGGAAGTGGACTACGGTGCAGGGCATTCTGGGTAAATATAACCAAAACAAACACGCTAGTCTGACGTTAGTGAGAGAAATGTTTTGTGATCTTTACCAGAGACAAAAGAAAAGTCCTACAAATGCTAAGGTCTGATGCTACTCCATTTGTTAACATTTTGTAAAGAAGAAAGTTGCACTCAGTGTCTTCTGCAGAGGGTTTTGTGTTTGTTCTTTCAGTAGTTTTTGGTGCAGCGCCTCCAGAGGCGAGGAGGCAGATTTTTCCTTTCACTCTCAGTCTTCATGTTCCTGAGCAGTTCCTGATTCTTGGTGCTTTCAGTCGTCAGACGTCTGAGCAAACATGAAATCAGGTTATTGATAATCTTTTGTCCTTTTCAGAATATCAGTTGGATCAACACAAACACGTCTAACTGAAGAAACTCTTAAAATAATCTGTGACTGAGAAGCTGAAGACGTCATCAGAACATATCATTAGCGTCTCGTCGGGAGCACAAGCGTACTGCTTCTCCAGATATTCCCTGTCAAGCTTCTGTCCAATAGATTTGTCTCCCAGGCAGGTATCCAGGTGGACGGTGGCTTTGAACCTGGACTGGAGCAGAACCAGAGACAGGGCCAAGGTGACCACAGAGAACGGGACGCTCTCTGATTTTTCTTCTGGGAGGACAAAAGGAATGACGATCCGGTTTCTCCCAACAGGACCATGTTTTTTGGTGAGAGACTCAAAGCTTTTCCAGATTCCATCGTCTGGTCGTAGAGGACTAACTGTGATGTTTGGGATCATCTGGTCTCCAGCCTGCCTCATTGAGTTCCAGCGAGCTGGTAGTTTCATGGATTGGTGCTTTTTATCAGGAACTGGAGAGCCATCCTTCATGGTGTAGAAGACTCTGTGCTGAGGCTTCAGTTTTCCTGTAGCCATGGCGTATGTTAACACTGCCCCTCCAGAGACACAGTTCCAGGGAGAATAAAGAACCACGTCTCTGATGGAGGCCAGAGGCAGAAGACAGCTGGCTGGCATCATGAAGTCTCCGATTGCTCCATGAGCCACAAAGGTGATGTCCACAGTGTCGCTGTGGTTCTTCTTCCCCTCCTCATCTATGTGTTTTTTAAAGAAATTAAACATGTCCACCAGCTGGTAGAAGGTGTAAGGTTTTTCTTTGAGCCACTTCAGGACGGTTTGATTGGTGCAGCTGTCCTCTGCAAGCTTCATCAGCTTCTTCCACTCATCTGAGCCCTTTGTGCTTTCCAAAATGTGAACATGTTTACGGACAGCTGCCCTGCAGAAAAAAAATTTAGTAATTAAAATAAAATGCATTTGGTGCATTCTTGTAAAGTATGACATGTCCTGGCAATCACCCCCTAAACCAGAACTGGTTTAGGGGGTTCGAATTAAATACTAAACATCTTTTCACATTCACTTCAGGATTTCGTGGTGGTTGTTTTTTTGTGTGTGATTTTTTTTTTGCAATCAAAATAACTTTGCAATCAAAATAAGTAGAAATATTTTCTTGTGATTTTGTTATATTTGCATTTATGTGTGGCAGTAATTGTGACTCATTACGTCAATCATAGACTAAAGCTTGACACCAAGCAAGGCTGAGAGAGCAGAAGTAAGAAACAATGCCACCTCCAGGTGGTAGATAGGCATTACTTCAACATTAGGTTTTTGACCACTTTTGCAGAAAATTAGCAATAAACTCACAATTATGTAGTGAGAAAAAGAGTGGGGATCAATTGATTCCCTGTTGATTTTCCATGGATTTCCACAAAAAACTGAAGGGACTGATTGATGATATTCGGCAGTAAAAAGATAAGATGATTTGATTTAATTGATCATATATTCAAATATATTCAATAACAACTGTTATTTTGAAGGTTCTATTTTTGTGTCCAGAGGGCCACATAATGGCGGCCCTGATTTGGTCCTCAAAGTCTGACTTTGACACTTGTGGTTCTCTCTCTTTAGTCGCCACACAGCAAACTGGCCAGAGTAAAAATATCAATGCTTTCTACTGTATTGAGATTTTAACGTGTTATTTGGTGTATTCGGTGTAATCACGGATTTGCAGCGAACGGTTTTTACAAGGTAAGATGACTAATGTTCATGTACTTTACAAGTAAGTGTGATTAGAAAGATGATATAAAATATTGCATTATGGAGAAGGTATGTGTATAACATTTAGTAACCATGGAGACAGTGTTGCACTGTCATGTAGCCTAGCATGTATGGAAAAAAACTGTTTGGCTTCCGCTCTTTTGTGCCTGTTTAAGGCTTCTTTAATGTGGGGAAACGCCGTTTATAGTATAGCGGTATAAATCATGTTATGTGACTTCAGGGAAAGTTGGCAATTTGATTAACACGGCAAAGGAAGGATGTACGGGTCTGTTCTAAGCTAGCTATTTCAAACTTGCTATTTCATTGCTTAAGCCATGAATAAACTGGCAAAAACAATTTAAGCCACTCTGTTCTATACTTCCGACTTCCACAATTGGTGCCTTGAACGATTAACCGACTTATTTACAACGGGTTAGCATTAGCGTTTTCAACACTAAAATGTAAACGTTGAACATCCGGGTACTTGGCCAAGATTGCTTCTGGAATAATCTCGCCAACGCCATTTTGTTTTACTTGCCTTGATCACGAAGAGGGGGATATGTATGTAGCTAACTTTTTTAATATTATTTTAGGTCATTTGTAATTGTTGTTGTTAAATATTTAGCGTTGTGTTCAAGCTTTTGGTGGATGACTGAAACCCTAGTTATTTTTTAAGCCTTTGTAATCATAAGTACAGAGTCTATGGAGGACGTTTGGCTGAGTCTGCTTTTTAATAATTGTTTTAATTGAGCATAAAGTGTTTATTTCAGGGCACATTGAGATTTAACTGGATGTAGATTCTTAACCCTTATTATTTGGTAGACTTGCTGCTATTGACTTGGGTCAATGTCCTGCTGAGGTCAAGTTCGCAAACTGCAACATAAGATGATCAATTTAATAGAAAATGTCTATTTGGTAATTATGGATTTGCTGCAGATCAATTCAATAGAAAATGTTTATTTGGTAATTATGGATTTGCTGCGGTTGTTTCCTCTTCTTTTTGTTCTGCAACCAAAGAATTTATTTCAACCAACCAAAGCTGTACTAGATTTCACTTTCACTTTTGCTCAGAATATCAGTAACATTTTTAGATGTCTGTTAAATCTTTAGAAACTTACAAAAGTAACCGCGTTTCCAGCTCGACTAGAGAAATCAGCAGATCCTGGAGTAAATCAATTTTCAGGTTGTTCATGGTTGGTGAATGATCAGGATCAAAAACAAAACTCTTAACCTGGAGAAGGAAAACAAAATCATTTTGAGAATGAGAAAATTCTGAACTGCTGAACCAGTTATTTAGTTTTAACCTAAATTTCCAAATTACTGTTAGCTGTACTTCCACTAAAAAACAGAGACTTTGTATGACCAAACAATGTTTTCCCTAATGTAATAACCAGATTCTGTTATTGAAGAATAAATCTATTACTAACTATTTAATAATATTTACAAATAACACTGGGAGTTTATTCCAGCTAAGCTGCATTTTCTCTTACCTGCTGCAGATCGTTCAGGTAAAATTGATGAGGGTGTTTTAACAGGTAAGTACTCAGCAGCCTTATTTATAGACCTTGGATCATATTACATCATGTACACGCCTTATAAAATTCCAGCCATAAAAATAACAATGAAAGAGAATGTTGTGACAAAATCCCCTGAGACTCCAGTTTATGAATGTCAAAGTTTTCCAGTTTATAGATCATAATAAACAACAGAGTTCAGCCAACACTAAGCAGAAAAACCTGCTCATTGCTGCAGCAGGATCTGCTCCATGATGCTGGCATGGAGTAAAACCTGGTAGTCCCTCAGCAAATAGAAATAATCATTAGGTTTGTGTAATGTATCTTGTATTTCTCTCTTTGTACTCTTCACTCGTCACACTGGACGAGTTTTATTTAAGGTAATCATGATAACATCATTCTACATATCAACGATTGATATAAAAACACACCTCTGACCTGGTTTGGCTCAGGAATCTCTGCCAAACCTCTTCCTTTAAATCAGCTGATTTACTGTAACTCAGCGGCTCTCCACATGTTTTACATGAATTTAGATCCTTCAGCAGAAACACTGCAGTTGTTTCACATGTACCTGGTACTTTAAATGTGCAAACCCTGACCTCATGCATGAATCAGTAAATATAAAGATTATATTAAACTCTGAACCAAGAAATACTTTAGACTTGTGAGCCAGAAACGAAGGTACAGTTCAACATGTTCTGTCATGTTATAGATTTTTAACTTGTGATTTTTGCCTCTGACATATTGTATTGAGAATAATTTCTTATGACGTTACTAATCTCAGGCTCAAATTCTCTTCAGTTTTTATTTTTTCCTTTTTTCTGTTTCTATAAAACTGATGTGTTGCTTTCCTTCAGTAAGAGATTCAGAGTTTGACTCTTTATCATGTCCAGCTCTTTGGGCAAAGAAAATGGATTTTTAATCATTGATATTTCTCTTTCTGAATCAGCCATTGTGGATGTAAAAAACAAACTGATTTATAGCAACACATATCGACTGAAATCTGATTGGATGAAACTTTGTTAATCCACACAGGCAAGTATAGGAAGCAGCACAGCCAAGAGATACAACACCAAAACAAATACCAGTAGATTCCTGAAAGTAAATTAAAAGCATGTATTTGAACCAAGATGAGAATATAGAGGTTGTTGATTCTGATTGTGTTTAATTGTGCTTAGAAAACCTTGTTCATGTGACGTAGTGTTCACTGTTATGAATAAATTACATGTCTCTCCTTATGTTTATGAAATAAATTTTAAAATATAACGAAGCAGCAGAGGAAACTATTGGAAAAAAATATTATGGGAAATAAAAAATATTTTTAGAAAGACTCAAATTAAAAATTTGACGTTAATGATAATTACATGTGGTCTGGTGACTCCTGCCACGCCCTCCTACCTGTGAAACTCCTGCAGAAACTCCAGAACCTTTTTGTTTTCTTCTGTTTCTGTCTGAACGTTTGCTGCATCTTTTCCAGCCTCTTCCACAGAGGAGACTTCACAGACAGATGGTATTATCCAAATGTAACAGCTTTGTAGTAAAAATATACACAAATATTAAATGATTACTACTCAGTCTTATGCATTTGATGACAATCCCCAACACAGCAGAATATTTCACTGTAGAAATGCTGGAAAGACGAAAAGTTTATTGAAAAATACCACAGAAGAATAAGAAATGGAGGGGTCACATTTCCTAAACATGCAGTAGTTGTTGCAATATTAAAAATAATTTTAAAAAGCTGGTCGTCAACCAGATTGCTGTGACAATCTCAGACAAGTCGAGTGTCTTATTTTCCCCTCTGCATCCTAACACAGGAGTGATAATCTAAATTAGCTGCCTTACAGTTCTTGACTGTTCATAAAATGTCACTGTAGAGAGAGAAACCACACAAAGTGCCTGCAATACGCAAATTTCTCATTTATTGACAGAAATTATAGCATACACATAGTGGCACAAAGTCCCTCCCTTCCCCAAATGTGCGATTGGTTTACAAGCTATTATCAAATTACAAACAGTTGTTTTATAAGATTCAACACAGCATCACATGAGAGTCTGTTGACTTTCTGACTTCAGAGTTGGGCTGATCGCCTGTGGATTGGAAGAAAATGGCTTTCTGCAGCATTACCATTTAGCTGTGACGTGTGAAAGCAGAATGTGAAGCCAATAAACAAAATATTTTTTAATGCTCCAGTTGTTTTGGTATATATAGTGTGATATGAGACATTTGATGTAATACAAACTAATATGCATAAAACCCAGAGATCTGGTACCTGTGGGAGGAGCTTCATCTTCATGTAGATATTATAATTTATACATCCCTACATTTAGATTGAGAGAACACATTTTTAACAAAATGAACTGCTAATATAACTTATGCATCATCTTTTCTATCCATGCTACACTGAAGATGTAATTAGAACCTTTCATTCCAGTCCCATCAACAGCACAGGCGTACTGCTTCTCCAGATATTCCCTGTCAAACTTACGAACAGTAGAGTGGTCAGTTAGACAGGCATTCAGGTGGACGGTGGCTTTGAACCTGGACTCCAGCAGAACCAGAGACAGGGCCAAGGTGACCACAGAGAACGGGACGCTCTCTGTTTCTTTTCCTGGGAGGACAAAAGGAATGACGATCCGATTTCTCCCAACAGGACCGTATTGTTTGGTGAGAGACTCAAAGTTCTTCCAAACACTATCGTCTGATCGTAGAGGACTAACTGTGATATTTGGGATCATCTGGTCTCCAGCCTGACTCATTGAGTTCCAGCGGTCCGGTAGTTTTGCAGGTTGATGTTTTTCATCAGGAACTGGACATCCATCCTTCTTGGTGCAGTAGAAGATTCTGTGGTGAGGCTGCAGCCGTCCTGTGGCGATGGCATATGCTAACCCACTGGTGACACAGTTCCAGGGAGCATAAAGAACCACGTCTCTGATGGAGGCCAGAGGCAGCAGACAGCTGGCTGGCATCATGAAGTCTCTGATTGATCCATGAGCCATGAAGGTGATGTCCACAGTGTCGCTGTGGTCCTTCTTCTCCTCCTCATCTATGTGTTTTTTAAAGAAGTTGAACATCTCTACCAGTTTGGTGAAGGAGTTTTCTCTCAGCCACTTCAAAACGACTGGATTTGAACAATTTGTCTCTGCGAGCTTCATCAGTCGGTTCTTTTCTTCGCAGCTTCTTATTTGTAAAAATTGAACATCTCTGCAGATGTTCCGCCTGTTGAAAGAAAATGAATAGGAACATTTAGTAAGAATATGTGTCTGTTACCTCCTTACTGTCACTGTACAACAGCCAGTTTGCCAGATCATATTACAGTGGACCCCGGTTCAGTACCAGCAGATTTCCAAGGCCATGGCTGAGCTCTTTTACTGTTTAATTGTCCTGGGAGACTTTGAATCCATGTAGATTAATCCCCAACAGAGAGGGGCAAAAAAGCCAATAGGTTACGCTAAAAACACATGAAAAAAAATATTCTTTAGGAAATTAACAAAACCATCAGTAATGCTCTTTGTCACAGTTGTTAGATTAACTTGGATTAATTTTACAGGCTCTAATCTGCTCTCTTCCAGCGGCTGCAATAAATTTTGCACCTTTTTTACAAAAAAACAATCTAAAATTTAAATTAATCTGCACACCAACATCCAGAGTTGAAGCCATGCCCAAACATAAAAATGTATAAAAAATGGCTAAATTAAGCTCTTCCTCCTGCTGTCTCGATATTCTAGTCATGATTCAAGAAAGTTCTGCCTGTTGTTGAATTCGATCTGATTCAGGCAGTAAACTGATTCCTTTCATCGGGTTTTTTCCCCAAGTCTTTAAAAACAAAAGTTGTTATAGCAATTTCGACAAAACTATATGCTCCCGCTGGCTCAGATTATAAGAAATTACTCTTATAATCTGAGTGTTGTTTTTAACACAGTTAAACGTCCTTGTTGCTGAAATGCGCTACAAATAAATTTGACTTCATTGTTTTAATGCATTGACCCAAACAAATACATGAAACAAAGTAATATTTATCATAAAAACAGATTAAGATGCCACTCAGTAATTTCTCAATGAACATTTGTCATCAGGAAACTCACAGCATCAAACTCTGTCTTCTGAGAGACATCAGTTTGTGGAGTCGGTAACTTTCTGGATCGCTCATGGTTGGTGGATGAACAGGAAAGAAAAACGAAACTGTTAGCCTGTAGAAGAAAAACAAAATCATTTTACAATAAGAAAATACTGAAGTTTTTTTTTTTTTTTTTAGATTTAACCTAAATTTCCACATTCCTGTCACCTGTACAAATTTCTACTCAGTAGCAGAAACTCTGTATAACTGAACAGCTTTGCCTCTAATATAAGAACCAGATTCTGTTAGTTCAGAATAAATTACTGCTAATATTTCATAATAATACAGTTAATTCCTTAGAGCAAATCTGCAGTTTGTCCTACCTGTTGCAGGTGAAATTGATCCAGTCATCTACCAGGTGAAGGACCAGCTGTCTTATTTATAAATCATATTACATCATGGGCGACACGCCTCAATGAGAGACAAACACCAGAGTGAAAATGAAACTTCAGAGCCAAAATTCCCAGCCAACATTTACCTTTATTTCACCAGGAAATCCCACTGAGATTAAAAATCTTTTTTGCAAGATAAGACTGGCTGCAGCACACAGAGAGGTTATAAAGGCCTTAAAGTTTATTGACCATAATAAACACCTGAATCCGACCAAAACTGATCAGAAACCTGCAGCAGGTTCTGCTCTGTGAACCAGGCATGCAGTAAAATCTGTAGAAATTCATCAAACAGAAATAAATGATGTATTAACATCTGATTGTGTTTAGTTTATCTGTTGTTTTTCTGTCTCTGTACTCTTCATGTCACACTGAGTCAGAATGGAGTTTTATTTACAGAAACCAGATTAGAATCACCAGACATGCCCACAGGTGAAATGAAAACACACCTGTTGTTTTCATTTCAACAGGTTCCTGAGCAAATTCCTGGTTGGCTCAGGAATTTATGCCAATCAGATGGTTCTTCCTGTAAATGAGTCGAGTTATAGGAACTCTTCAGCTCTTCACGTGTTTTACATGAATTTAAATCCTGTAGCTGCTTCACATGCTCCTGCGAAGCTCTACTTTAAATGTGAAAACCCTGAACTGATGCATGAATCAGAGTAAATATTCAGTATCTGTAAAATCTGAATATTTTGAAGGAAGTCTGAAAGGAAAATACCAAGAAATACTGAAGACGTCTGAGCTGCAGATTCAATTCAGTTAATTTTTACTTATGTAGCACCAATTTAAAACACGTCGTCTCAAGACATTTTACAAAATATCATTTCAATTCAATCACACATACATTCAAATTCATCCTAATTACCAAACAACACAGAAAGCTAAATTATTCAAGGAAAAGAAGAGACAAGAAACACATAAAATAAATCAGATCTTATCAGGTTTTAGAATTTTTACTTCTTATGCTTCCTATGTCTGACATTCTCACTGTGACTAAATAAACAAATTAAATTACATTATTTACTTTAAGAAATAATTAAACCACTGATCGTTTTCATTTGCTGTCTAAGACCACTAGATGGCAGTGCAGTAAAAGTGTCTAGAAACTGAACAGGAATTAGAAAAACTTAATTGTAATGACTATCAAAATAAAACTCGTTGATCTGAAGACAGAGTCCAAAACATCTAGTTCATATTTTATATTTCCTCAGTACCCGTTTTGTCTCAGTTCAACCGAACATGGCTTTGAAAGCATTGGCCAGACGCTCATGTACTTGGTTTTCTGCACTGCTTTCTGTTCTTCTGAAGAACTTTATCACTGAAGATATTATAGATTGGAACTTGGAGGCCAACATCTTCTCAGTTGAGGTCATTGCTGTGAAGTCGATGGTGCAGGCATACTGCTGCTTCAGAGCTTCTTCATCCAGTTTCATTTTTCTAGATAGTTTCCCCAGACAGACGGTGAGGTGGAGCGTGGCCTGAAACCTGGAGAACATGAGCACCAGCGACAGAGCCAAGGTCACCACAGGGAGAGGGATGACTCCTTGTTCAGGGAGGATTAATGGAATGAGGATATGGTTTCTTCCAGGGTTGCCATGTCTGCTTTCTAGCCTCTCAAATTTCTTCCAGACGCCATCTTCAGGTGTTTTTAAAGGAGACACGATGATGTTGGGAATCTTTTGATTTCCAGCTGTCTTCATGGAGTTCCACCCATCGGGGAGACGTTTGGGCAGATGCCCGTTATCTGGAACCTTGCAGCCACGATCAGGTGAGCAGTAAAACTGCCTGTGGACCGGTTGAATCTTCCCTGTGGCGATGCCGTACGCTGCAGTAGCTTCAAGGTAGCAGTTCCAGGGCGAATACAGGACAACGTCGGAAACGGTGGGCAGAGGCAGCAGGCAGCTGGCTGGCATCATGGAGTCAGTGATCGCACCATGAGCCACAAAGGTGATGTCGACTTCGTTGCTGTGGTTCTTCTCCTCTTCCTCATCAATGTTTTCCTTCAGGAACTGGAACATGTCCACCAACATGGAGAATTTCTTAGACTTTGCGTTTTCCCTGAGCCACTTCCTAACTGATTCATCTTTGCAGGTATCCTGTGCAAACTTCAGCAGAGTTTGACTGTCGTCACTGGTCTTGTTTTTGGTTTCAATGCAGCGTTTGACCTCGGCTAACCTCCGGAAGATCGATCTGGAAGAGAAAACGCCAATCAGAGGACAGTTCTCATAAAGGTATTTCTTGTCCTGTTGGATCTGATCAAAACGTTTCACACAACGGATCATTACATGTTGACATCGAGTCAAGAGAAAAGTGTGGGAATCAGGTCTAGTTAACAGAATAAGACTTTTAGGTAAATTTTTCTCCCGAGTTCCCTTTATTGACAATCTTAGGGATTCTCCAATTATCGGGATGAATCTAAAAATAATATTGATAGATTTTTCTGCTGTGTGTGCGCTAAGGGCTAGAGATAGGTTGAACTGGCCGTGTGTTGTTTTCCAAGTTGTATATAAATAAAATATGTAAAAATTTTGGAATTCAGGCAAAAACATAAAAAACAATGATTTATAAGTTGGTTTCCAGTAAAGTTCAGCATTTTTTCTGTTTCCATTATTTCAGTATATTAGTGAGACGTTTCATCATTCAGACTTACTGGATGTTTTTAAGGTCTTTTTCCATCTGGTCAGATGCTTTCCGAATGTCCACAGCGTTCTTCCTCAGACTCTGACTGGCTTCTGTCTTACAGTTATTCACATCGATACAGTTGATCACCAGCTCAGGAACTGAAAAAGCCAATCCTACCACTCCGGCTCCGACCTGGGAAAAACAAAAACAAGCAAAGGAAATTTTAACAAGAGTTGATTTCTGTTTCCTGCCATCTGGAATCAGAGTCAGCTTTACTGGCCAAAATTTGGGCATCAGTCAATACCTGAAAAATATCTTTTTTAGCGTAATATTCATTGGTATCATAGTAGTATGACTGCATATTAAAGCCATTGTAGATAGAAAAAAAAGTTACATTTGGCCCCAAAAAATCTTTTCCTAGAAAAATCTTGAAACTCTTCCAAAAGTTCAGTTTAGACATTAATTTTTTTTCTCTTTAAATTTCTGAGATTAATCTCAAAATGTATGCTTTATCTAGGTTTGTCAAGAAAATTTCAGAATTTACTTCTTCTTTTCTATCTTCAATGGCCTTATGCCATCACACCACTTCTGCGTGTTTCATATATTTATGAGCCGTCTGAGATACTCACCCGTCCGACTGCTTTGCCTGCAGCTTTTGCTCCCATGGACGCTGCCAGCTCTGGAAGGCCATTCGACACCAAACTCTTCCCAGACTTTCTAGCTGCGATCATTGCAAACTTGGCAGCTAAAGAAATCCCAAGAAGAGCGAAATCTGCCTCCTTTTCACTGATCAGTGTTTTGGAGAAACCAGACAGCATGCTCTGCAGGCTGATCCTGGCGTTCAGCATCAGCCCCTCTCGTTTGGCCATCGCCCTCACAATCCTTTCTACAACATAATCTTCTGGAGAAAGTTTCTCAAAGGACGAAGCCTCTTTTTCTCTCCGCTCTCCTTCCTCCTTCAGCGTTCCCATCAGTTTCTCAATCCCCTTTTCGAGATTCTCAATCTTCTCGCCGATCTGTTTGGCTTCCTTCATGTTTAGGCTCGCCACAGTGATGTCCACAACGTCTGAGGTCAGGTTAGTGGTCAGACCGAGGCCAGAGGCCACGGCTCCAGCCGTGAACAGGAACGGGATCGCAGCTCCTCCAGTGACGAGGGCCGATATGCCAGAAACCGTCATGGCCGCCGCTCCTCCTACAGACACTGAGCTGCCTACAACTTTACTGATGTTGCAACCTTTCTTGGTTTCCTCCAGCTCAGTGGCCAGTTTGTCAAACTTCTCTGCACCTTCTTTCTGCAGCTTCACCCACTCGAAGATTTTATCTATGAGCATGTCGGCTACGTCCATGGTGGGATCCCAGTGATTTTCCTGAAAAAAGGTTAAAGTTTACGTACTAGTTACATTAAAGCAACATCTGACCTCTGAACTCTCACCTTTTCCAAGAAAAATTAGAAGCAGAGTCTCTTGAAGGAGCTGAAGTTTCTGGAAGTTTGTTCAGACCAAACTATCTGCACAAATAACTACAATGTTGCATTGAGGACATTGTAGGAAGAAGAGAAGAAGAAGTACATTTCTGCCAAAACAAAACCTCGACAATTTTGGGATTATTTCAAAATTTTCTAGAAAAAAGTGGAAATGATCCACTTTTGAAACTCAGACATTTCCAGGTTTCCTCCAGAACATTTCTGAGATTAATCTCAAAATGTCTATTTTTTTATACATTTTGTTTTACTTTCAGAAAATTTCTCAGATTAATAAAAAAAATTATCATTTTTATCATGCAAATTTTTGACATTTTGAGCTCAGAAATTTCCTTTTAAAAAGAAAAGAAAGATTTTTTTTTTTAATTTCTGAGTTTTAGTTCACTCCTTTATTTTCTATCTGGCCCTAATACATTGTTATAAATAAAAGGTGTAAATGCATGTAAAATTAATATTCCAGTCTCACCTGTTCTGTTGAAATGTAAAAAGACTCTCCTAAAAGCTCAGCTTGGGTTTTTATTGTAAGAAAGTTTATTGCCTGTTCTTCTGATTGGCTGATTTAAAGACAGTCATTCAGAAAGTGAAAGTGTTTGTCTAATCCTGCTGACCCGATCAGACACAGTTTTGAGCTGACCTCAAACGACCTCTAGCTGTTTAAAGTCAGATCAGAGCCAGGAGTCAATCATAGTTCATGCAGAAAACTGAAAACTACAAATAAACATCTTGATTTGTGACCTCAGGTAGATTTTTGTCCTGATCTTCAGCTACCCTGGAAAACTTTTGCATCAAAGACAAAGTTGAGGAAGAAATGGTTTAGTCTGAAATCTTTAATCCTTAATAAATAACAAACAACATTTGTTCCCCTGACATCCTCAGGTGGTACCACACAAGATTTTATCACATTTATGTGGATTTCACTTAAAATGATAAAAAAAAAAACATCCAACGCAAAGGGAGATGTCCCTTGCAAAAGAGAAAGTAAACTCAACGAAAGCAGCAATTAAACTTCCTGTCTTAACAGCTGTAAAGTATTTGTGGTTTTCTCCGAAGCAGCAGATTTATTATCAGGCTGGTGATGCAATAGCTGGACTGGTTCCATTTAGAAAACTTATTTTTTCTGTTCATAACATCCAACTCTAAGTTTAACTGGTCAATTCTCTACAGAGACCCTCATCTGTCAGGCAGTTTCTTGGCTTTCTGGTGCAGTAAATATGAGAAGCTGTTTGTGAATCACTTTCACAAATTAAATGACAAAGCTCGTCTTAAAACCCATCTATTTTACTTGGCTTTCAACTCCAGTGAGATCTAGTTTTACATTGTACGTTTGTTTGTTTTAAACTGTAAGAGTTTTTACTTGTTTTTATTTTTTGTACAGCACTTTGTATCAGCTGTGGTTGTCTTAAAGTGCTTTATAAATAAAGGTGGTATGGTTTGGTAAATAGACACCTAAAAGAAAAAAATTACTTGTTTATCCTGTCACATAAGAAAACAGGGGCTTATTTTCCTGTTAATGTCATTCATGCATTTATAAATGTTGCCATTTTAAATCAAAAATTTAATTAACAAGCTAAACATTTAGTTTACAAATGAAGTAAAGTTTAGTTAGCAGGCTAAATATTTAGCTTGCTCACTACTAAATGTTTAACCCTGAGATAAATATTTCATTTCTAAGCTAAATATTTATCTTAATTTACTGACAGAATAGCAAGTTATATATTGAGTCATCCAAGTTAATATTGAGCTTTTTTAACTAAATATTTACCTAATATGTGGAAAAATATTTAGTTTGCAAGGTAAACGGTTAGCTTGCTAACTAACTAGCAAGCTAACTGTGTTGCTAAGTGTGAAAGTTATGAATGAAAATGAAATAACATGGTGAAAATGTGACTGAAAAATGAACCTCCATGTTTTTCTTATGGCAGTATAAACAGCCCAACCCAAGTATTTGCACTGGTTCTGAGCCAAATGTAGGTGAACATGATATGATTGATTAACAGAAGTTACGTCAACGAAGTGATATCAGAAGCAATCTGGTGTCACACCCATAGCAGCAGATAATCTCTGCAACAAGGCCGCTGGTTCAACGGTTAAAGATCCTCCAATATAACCTGCAGCTTAAGGTCTGTTACTTTGTTCAATTCAAAACCTTCTGACAAACTGAACCTTATTTAAACATTAAGATATTTTTGCAAAAATCTGAAGTATCTTCAGAGAGTCGTTGTGGATGATGATGTTATGGGCAGGAAGGATCTCCAGTAGCAGTCAGTCTTGCAGTAAATCAAGAGAAGCCTCTGACTGAAGATTGTTGCTGAACAATTACCTTATGCTAACAAAGAAACTGAACGAGAAGAGAGAAGAGTCAAGTGGTTATTAAACTTTAGTTTATCACATCAATCTGCAGGTAATATTTTACAAAAAAATATGAGGTTCGTCAGGATTATTTTATTAAACCTTTTTAATGTTTCAAACTTTAAAAACAGAAGCAAAAACAATGTCCAGGTTTTATGTTCAGCTTCAGCAGCAATCCATTAAATAAGACACAGATGAGCTGCTGCTGTAACTTCAACCTGATGAGAAACAGAACCAGCAGCAATAAAATATTAACATTTATAAACAAGATTTTGAGCAAAAATATGTCAACATGGTGAAGCTTAGCAATAAAAATAAGGATAAATAAATAAAACCGGTTTAAAGCTGCCTTCATGACTGGAGTCTCTGTCACACCCAGTTAGCTTCCAGATTTTCCAAGTCTCTTAAATCATCTGAAACATGAATCCAGATTTTCTTTAACTTTAATATCTTCATGATGCTGAGCGTATCAGTCCGGTTTGGACCCTGAAGCATCAGATCTGAAACCATCTGCATGAAGCTCCGTTTCCTCCTGAGGAGCTAAAACGTGTCTGCAGCTCTGATGGTCTTCAGCAGCTCCTCTCTCACTGTAAGACAGAGGTCAGGGGTCAGGTATCAATCCTAAATCAGAAGGTGTTCATGTTCTCCATCAACAATAACATTATAGCCAAACAAACTTGGAATCATGTCAGAAAGATCACCTGAAGGGCTTTAACTAGGACCTGGAGGATCAGCTGCAGTTATGTCAGAGTTTATTTTTAAACTGTTTAAATGTGTTAAAAAAAAACAAAAAACTTTTTGGCATAGTTTTGTCCTCAAATTTGACACATAAGCTGACCAGCAAATTTGACACATAAGCTGGTCAGAGACTGCTCGTCTCTGATTGGTCAGAGACGAGCAGTTCTTCCTGAAACTTGTACATTTTGTCCCAGCAGGTTTTCAGCAGATTTTATAATCTCAAACTTAAGACTTTTTAAGACCACTATGAATAAAATTTAAGACCTGCAAGGCAAAGAAGTGAGTCAGTGATGAAGGTGAACGTCATCCAGCCAATTTGCAAAATGATAAAAGCTAAAAAATTTGCTAACTAGCAAGAGTTTATAAACTAGTTAGCTGTAGCTGAGACGCCTCGAGTCGCAGGACAGAACACAGATGCCTGCACACAACTCAAACGTTTGCTTTACAGAAAAGTCCTGCAAGAAAAATAAACTACATGGAAAATAACTGTTACTTGCAGCCCTGAATTCTGCATTCCTTCGGTTCTCTGCTCACCATGCAGCTGTGTCCTGGAGCGAATGTCACACCTTTCAGAGCTCTGTCCTGAGATCCGCTGCTGCTGCCACTCACCGAGTTCTTCCTCATGATGCCTGAACATTAAGCAGACTCGTTTCAGAGAGCCTGAAAAGTTCCTCTGTCTGCACAGTGCAGTGAGCTCATCTACCTGAAGGGGGTGGTATGTCCCGACTCTGAAGGCTGTTTCTGCGAGGCAGGGTGTAGTTTGCTGGTTTGGAGAGACGTCGGTGGCGGTGTTTCAACATGGCCGCCGGAGGGATAATGCTGGGGGGCGGGGCTTTACCTTTCTGTCGATAGAGCTCCTCAATTTCTCGCTTCTGACTCACCTGCAGGCTCTGCACCTGCTCCAGGTGTCTGTAAGGAGGAGAGAGGAGAGAAGATAGTGCACAGTAAACAGGCATGCATTGTGACATTTGGTGACACCTGCTGGCCAAACCCTAAACATTGCTCTTTACATGGCAGGAAGGTGTGATGGATTTGTTTTTCTAACTATTTGTGCAGCAAAAGATGATCCCTAATCACCCAATCACCTTTGACGAAGCTCCATTAGCTCCTCCCACATCTCCTCGCCCTCTGATTCATCAGAGCTGTAGGTGGCAGAATGGCCTGACCCCTCCCACAGACTGACACTCAGCCTGCGGCTCCCCGCCGTCTTCTGCTCCTGACCAGACAGACTGTCATAGTTGACAGGAGGGGAGATGGTGACTGTGGGGTTGCTGCTCTCTGATTGGCTCGTCTCTGAACTGCTTTTTGTGTGCTCTGGTTGATCTTTATTGGATGGAGTCACGGACTGGGTGGTGGAGGGACCTCCTGAAGAGGGTGACACCTGGAAGCGTCCAACTGTGAAACCTGGTTCCTTTACTGTCAAAGAAGAAAAGAGGAGAAGACACCTTTGATTGACTAAGAGATAATTTCATTTTCATCAGGTTCAGCCCAAAGACAGAGCAGAAATAGTGACAAAACAATGAAGTCGTGATTCCAACATAGAAAGGAGTAGTGAAAGAACAGAGGAAGAGAGTGGCTCCTGGGTGTTCTCCTTTGGAGGTTTTGGGGAACATCCTCCAAGGAGGAGATCCAGGGGGAAAACCAGAACTCAGTAAAGGAACAATGCATCCCGTCTGGTCTGAGAATGACTTGGGAGACTCCTGAATGAGCTCGGAGAGGCATGTCTGGTTTCCATAGTGGACATGTTACCTCCTCAACCCAGTTGAACAAGTGGAGGTCAACAGCGATAGCAATGGAAAGGAAAACTCTGGGAGATTTAAAAATGCATGATAATAGGAAACTTTTTTCTGTTGCTGGTTCTTTCTTTTGTGAACGAAAAAATCTTGAGAATTGTCTTTGTTTTACAAATCAGAAAAGTATATTTTACCTTTTAGGGTCGGAGACATTCTTCCTGATGGAGAAACAGGAGGGGATACCTAAAATAAAGTAAAAAATGTCTAGTTTAATCAACATGGTACATAAGTGAAGAGGACCAACACAACTCGGCAGTAAGGACATTTGGTCTAAACATTAGAACCAGTTAAAAATATGATTTAATTTAACTAATCACAGACAAAGATACAGTCATGAGAAACTTTAAGGCATTGAGTTACTGCCTTGTCATTGACCTGCTTGCTATTTTTGTTTGTTTATTGTGAAACAACACAAATTGTAGCTGATGAACTTATGGTTCACTGAGCACAGGAAGGATTTCCAGAGCTAAACTGATGTGACTTCTCTAACCAATGAGGCATGGAGAGACGGATGCAAGGTTTGTTATCTATAAACAGATATCTAAGCATTGATGACCTACCACTGTTTGGGTTTAGAGTTTGAAAATGATCACAGTCTCATTGGAAAGAGACAAGAAATACCTGGACTGATCAGGTATTGCTTGAGGTCAATGTGGGTGAGACGTGTAAATGCACTGATCATAAAACATAAAAAAACCCATTTAATGTTTATAAACCTCACCATTTTGCAAGGAGTTGATGGACGAGGAGATGATGTGGAGGAAGAGGTCGATGAGTCTGAGAGCTCTTCTCTGTGAGTGGGTCTACTGGTCAGACTTGGAGAAAAAGATGTACCTTCACCTGTGAACCAGTACGATCAATGTTCAGTGTCTAGGTCTGATCAGCTGTGACTGAAGTCATTAAATCCACCAGGTACTCACCATTAGGGGGTGAAGGTAAGTCAGCTGTACGGCCAGAACTGATGAGCTGTGATGAAGGAATGAGAGGTTAGCACAAAAACAAGATGCTTCAGTTTCACACAACAAAACCCAGTAACCCCAAAACTGATTATCACACCTGATAGACCATTAGACTCTGTTTCATTTCACTTTCACGCTGCACTGTCAAACAAACCAAACCCTATAAATAACCTGTAACTGCACCAGGAACCACCGAAGGAAATGACACTGTGACATGAGTGGCACTTCCTTCTTGACAAACTGGAAACAACAAACAAGTACTGGCAAATTTTGCATTTGTAGGATTTCTCTTTTGTCACTGGCTATTTCTCCCCCTGGCGTTAGACTCTCGTGCTTGTTTCACCCAGAATGCCCTAAGCTACAGTTTGTTTTCTGCTTTTGGACTGGTCTTCGGTCCACTTGGCCGCACCAGAGTTCACTTCACCCAAACCGAGACCTAGTTTTGTAGATAGATTCTAGTTTGCTTTTTTCATCTGCATCAGCAGACCACCACACCAGACTTGTTTAAAGCAGATTAAACAAGGTGGTGTGAATTAATCTCAGTCTTACCTGAGGTGTTTCTGAGATCCTGTTGTTTCTGGGATCCTGCTCACTGTCCCTAAATGAGCCAATCCGAGGTCTTGGTGGGGAGTATGTTTGTTGCAAGGAGAAGGAATTGGAAAATGAACCTTGGTTTTGATGTTGGAGACCAGAACCCAAAGACGGAGACCCAGAGGAAGAGAGGGGAGGTTGAGGGTTTGAGAATGGGGGAGATAAAGGTGGAGTGTGGGGATATAAGCCCTGATTGGGGGCCCCAGATTGGGGTAACAAGGACTGAGCCACACTCATTGCCACAGAGATGACGTTAGCCAAGGAAAAGTAAGGTTGGTCTGGGGAGGGCCATTGGGGAGGATTGGGTGCTGATGGAGAAGTAGTGGGGGTGAAAAGGGAAGGGTTGCTTTGCACCCGGGGCAGTTGGGAGAGGGGGTACATGTTTGGGAAGGAGGCAGTGTAAGTGGAATAGGGGTGATTCTGGAGTTGGTATTGAGCAGCTTGTGGGCGATGCGGTTGGGAAGTAGTGTTGGAGTCTGGGTGGGGGTAGTGGAGGGAGAACTGGGGGTGCTGATAGGAGGAAGCTGGAAAGAGGAACATAAATGACATTTAGTTTTAAAAAAGGTAAACATCTAGGTAATTCACGTTACCAGATTAAACAAGGTGGTGTTGTGCATGATCTCTATACCGGTCTACATTTAGGAAATATGCAATAGGAAGACATTTAGGTTGGATGCCAACCAAAGTGTTTCAACACTACCACCAAAATTAAAAAGATTATAGCCATATTAGTCTGTAAATATGTTCTATCCAGAACTCTTTAAGCACCTTTTACTATCAAATTATCAAGCAGTTAATCAAAGAAATAGTCAACAGATGAACCCTATACTGCATTGATGTTAAAATTGCAACAAATAGTCAAGCATATAAGTAGATATCTATCACAAGATGATGATGTGATGGATCGTACCAGATGGAGTCTGAAAAGACTGTGACCTCAGCGGTCTGACGAGGGGTGTGGCCTCGGTGTCGATGAGGAAATCCACAGCTTTCAAAGGTGAGGGGTCACTGTTATCAATATCTGACAGGAAGAGACAACAATCAGCCAGAGAAACGAATCAATGAATGAGTCAGAACTAACGAAGAAACATCAGCTCAAAGTAGATCTCAGTTTCAAACCATCAGACTGACTTCACAGTCCAAATGTTGATACTTACCAGGTAAAGAGGACGAAGACAAAGTCCTGGACAGACCCTTTGTTGCCTCATTTAACTGTGTAGAGAACCAATCAGAGTATAATTCAATAAAATTACTGAAACCACGAAGTTTGACTGAGATGATTTTATATCATAACACTGTAATGATTCATGAAAAACTGTATCAGTTTAAACAATTAAAGGATTCAACTGTTTATGCACTGTTCAACCAGAGGGGGCACAACTGAGTCAGTTTTAGGCATAATATTGCAAAACTTAACACAAAAATTACACAGAAACATAAAGACAGAATCCTAAATGACCTATTTGATAAAAGCAAAAAAGAAGTTGATTTTGGTAGTTAGTTATCAGAAGAAACACTTTTATGGGAGAAATGAGACGCACCTGTGATTCAGGCAATGCAGATGCAGTCAAGTTGGGCAACCTGCTGGCGTCTGCTGGATGCTGCTGATGCATCATTAACTCTGCCCTCTTTATCATTTCATACATGCGTAGAATAAACCCATCTCTCTCTGATGGCAGGATGAAGTCTCTGAGCAGCTGAAAGTACAGAGTTGGTTATTGATGGAAGACAAGCTGGAGGAGAAAGCTCAATGCTGATTGGTTGTCTCCTAACCATCACAGAGGCGATGTCCTCTGGATTGTCTCCATCCAGGTCAAACTTGAAGGTCACCATCTTGTTGTTGTGAGTCTGCAGCTGACACTCCACCACTCGGTCCACCTTGTCGGACACCTAAATGCACCAAACACACACACACCAGCTGTGTTTGCATCAACCATAAAACTGCATAAATGGAAACACAAACATTTTTTGAAACTCATGGTTTTTGTGATGTGGATTTTGACCAAATCTAAATTAGTTTCTTTCATAAAACTGCAACGGAATTTTTTTTTCCATTACGAGTCATGTGACCATCAGTGGGATGTTACTACTGGCGGAAATGCCAAAGAAGACAACAACAAGAAGTAGAGGTAGATGATTATTTGTTGTTGTTTTTTTAGACTTTTGTTTTTCGCGCAAATTTCTTAAAACACTTGAAAAACGACAAAGTGTTTTAAGAAATTTGCACTAAAAACTATACCAAAAATGGTTTGGATACCAAAAATTTTCTGTTTTTGCAGTGTTGTAACTGTTTATTGGCATGTTTTTAATTAACTTATCACGTGTAATTTCAATTTTATTTCTCAATTAATGGAAACACAGCAATTGTGAAATTGTGTTTTTTGACATCAGCGGGATATCGAGAAGGATTTATTGCCGTTTGTAATAGAAGCTCAGCTTTCGCCTGGAATGGCTCGACTCACCCCGACGATCCTCAGCCGGGCTCTGACTCTACGCCTGAACTGCTTCGTTGCTTCTCTTCTCGCTGCTTCCTGCTTGCTCCGATCTGACTGGCCGTCGTTGCCGTCACTCAGGCCGGATGTAATGTCAGAGGAGTAGCTGTGAGGAGAAAACACAGATTCTAAAGTAAAACATGTTGAAACGAAGGAGGCTGATTGTTTTCTCCTGTGTGTTACCTGTCGACAGGTGAGGAGAAGCCGCAGCGTGAATCAGTGGGATGTTTTTCTGAACTTTGAGAAACAGCAATGCTCTGCAGAACACAGTTTCAATTAGAGCTGAGACTAACAATTACATTAGTTATCAATTAATTAATGAAATATATATTTTTTTGTTTTCTAATATTTGTAGCTGGACTGAAGCAAATGAAGTAAATTTTATGTTTTTCTCAAAAAAAAACCCAGATAGGTCCTGCTGACCTTTGGGAAGCGCAACACCGGGAAGGGCGGAGCTTTGGAAGCCGTCCGACTCAAAGGAGGCGGAGTCCCTGGATTGGGGGCGGAGCTTAACGAAATAGGAGGAGCCTCTGGAGCCGCAGGAGGGGTGTTGAAGAAGATTCCTGTTTCACAGTCAGCTGCCATAAGAAGAAGCAGTTATTAACTTGAACAGCAGCTGTAATAACTATTCAATCAGACGTTAAAACACGTAATTAAATAAACCGACAGGCAGCTGAGGAGTGAGACGCGTGTTTGGTTGCCCTGTCTTGGTCCTCGTCTCCATCTTCTTCCGTTTTGCTGGACAAGATGCTGATCCCAGAATCTGCCTGGCTGCTGCTCGCCAACGGCATCCGTGCTGGGCTGGATGCCGTGGGCGGGGCTTGCATGTCATCATTCTGTGAGTTTATTGAACGAGAGTAAAGGCTGCATTTCACTCTGTGGAGCTTCACGCAAACTTTCATTTTCAGGTGCACGTTCTCGTTGTTAAGATCCAACTGATTTACAGGCGAAACAACTGAAGAGGTTGCGAGTTGGCGCCCTCTTGTGGATGTAATTAATTCTTAATGTCTTATGAAAGACAAAAAATTTAATTAGGGAGGGAATATTAGGACTTTCAGGGAACATTTTACTTTGTAACATGGTACTCATAAATTTTTTTTTTTTTTTTACATATGCCGATAGGTTGAAGTGCAGATATGCTTTGCACAGAAAAGTAGCTAATTACATATTAAACAATAAATTGCTAATCAACAGTTGGACTACTTTGTCAAGGTAAGTGTAACTGAATTTGAGGGAAATAAAGGAATTTGTTTTGAGAAATGTAGGAAATCGAAACCATCTGTGGACAGAGTGGGTGGAGTCTGCGTGGCTCACTGAATACGCAAAGTACTACTACTACTTCAAAACAATATATGATAATGAATAAATTCAATAAATTAAGAAAATAAAAGATTTTGATTGGCAAATAAAGTCTTAAAACATTTAATTTGTTGCTTCAGACTCACCTGATTGGCCACATTTCCAGAAGCAGACGCGTTCAAAACGGATGCAGGCTTCTGATTGGACAGTTTGGACTGATCGGGGACTGGCTCAGTCGCCTTGTTGACAGCCGCTTTAAGGTTGTTCAGAGCTTCCTCCAGCAGGCGGCGCTTTTTGTCGCGCCCCTGCTTTATGGCAGTCACTCGGTTTCTGATCGCCTTGGCGATCACCTTGTAGTCAGACTTACACACAAATCCCAGGATCACCTGAGAGAGAAAGATGACAGGTGAGTCCAGCCGGCAGGTGATTATTGTTTGGTGATGTCGCCAGCGTGGCGATGACGCTACCATCTCCTGGGCGACCTCTTCAGGGACGTCTTTGTACAGCTCAAAAAGGAACTCAATGGCATTGTTGTCTTTGTATTTGCCCAGAAGCTTCTTCTTGTCTTCCACCCTGAGCCAGAGCTTCAGCGCCGCCTTTGCACCATCGTCTTCCTCAGCAAGCTCCACACAGTAACCCGTCTTTTCCTGGAAGAACCGGTGCGCCAGCAGATCCTCAACCGTAAACCTGTAAGAAATCAGCTGTCAGTAGGTCGTTCGCTGTCCCACATTGACAAGAGACACAAAATACAACTATATCTGAATAATTGCTATTATTCAGATATAGTTGTATTTTAAAGCTTCTAGCGTAAAATTAGGAAGCTCTACAACAAAGATCCAAGAAGAATACAGCTCTATCTTTTTAAAGGTGTATTCACACCTGCCCTCTTTAATTTGCTTTAATCAAACTCTAGTTTGTGTATCTGGTTCGTTTGGGGAGGTGTGAATGTTTACTGAGTTTTTCCCACTAACCTCTCACTGCTGCTGGTTTGGATGCAGCCCTCGATGATCTCTTTCAGCTCCTGGTTTTGTACTTTATAAAAATTATCCGGTTTGATTCCCTGGAGGACAGACGGTGGATCAAACACGGAAACACAACAGGAAGTGTGCAGGTGAGAGGTGGGCGTGGCCTTACGTTGGTGACTTTGCGGTAGATCTGGGCTGCGTTCTGACACTCCGAGTACGGATACTCTGAAGTTGCCATCTCCAGCATGCACATACCGAAGGCGTAAATGTCCACGGCCTCGTCATACTTCTCCTCATACATCTCTGGAGCCATAAACTCAGGCGTTCCTGAACGCACCACGAGTCACAGCGTGAGACACTCAAACAGAACCTTCCCCCCACTTCCTGAGCAGATGCTTCTTACCGATGACGCTCTTGGCGAACGAGGCCTTCTTGAGCGTCGCAAGGCCCAAGTCCCCAATCTTGACCGAGGCGGTGGGGCCGTTGATGAAGACGTTGTCGCATTTCAGGTCTCGGTGGAGAATCGGTGGCGAGCGGGAGTGCAGGAAGTGGAGACCTTTCAGGATTTGCAGGCTCCATCTCTGCAGCAGCTTCAGCTTCATGGGGCGGAACCGGCGCACGTACCTGGATGGTTTCAAAGGAAAACAGGACGAGGAGGGTCATGTTCAGGATACGCTCAGGTGGGTTGCTTCACACTGGACTCCTGTGAGATTTTCCAGATATTGTCCACAGCTGCAACATTTCAACTGTTATGTCTTCATCTTTCCAAACTCCTTCCTGACTTTCCAAGTCAGATTGGTATATGGGAAAATGTATTGTCATTTATGAGATAAATAATCTGGTAAACTATCAATATTAAGGAATTATTAACTTATCTTGCTGAAAAGTTACTTGTAAGTTAGTTTTGTCTTATTTTATCAAAATACTTGGTAAGATTTGATGCTTTTGATTTTGTTTTTGAGGGTTAAAGGTTTTTGTGGGCTGTGTTGCTCACGTTTTGAGCGTCCCAGACGTCATGAGCTCCGTCACCAGGATGATGCACTTCGCGGATTTCCAGGAGTCGTAGAACCTCACGATGTTGGGATGCTGCAGGCCTTTGAGCATCTTCACCTCCTCGCTGAAGCGCTGGCGCTCGGATCGGCTCAGACGGTGAGTCTGCGGAGCGTGAACACATGAACGACGTCAGCCGTTCACCTTGGGAGAGAGAAAGCGCCGCCCTGGAGGACGCTGAGCCCTCACAGAGCTGCTGCTGATGAACTGCTGACATGGCAACACAAACGCCTCACTTTGCTGCCAAACTCGGTTTTCTGTTTGTTTATTGATGATCCGCCGCTTCCTGTGTCTCTAAGTTCATGACCAGATCACCGCAAACAGACCCGGGAAAATTAAAAAAGGTGAAAATTAAATCATTTTAAAGCATAAATTTAATTTAATACATTTTATATGTATGAAATTAATAAAATTAATACAAACATTTGAATTTAAATAAAATTGAATGACATTTAACTGAATACTTTAATAGCAATTAAATTATATAAATATATCTGAAGATAGATTTCAAATGAAAGCAAATTTAACAAAACTATTTAAGAAATAAAATTATATAAATAAATACAAGCATTTTAATTGTCAAATTAGATAAAAAACAGTTTTAAAAATTTATTAAAAATTAAATATATAATGTAAAAATGTAATAAATGTAATAAATTTATTTAGTCAAACTTTGAAAATAATTTAAATTATCAAAATAATTATATATTTTTATTTATTTAAACAAATATATATTTGTATTTAATTAAATATATATGTTGAAAAATAAAATGTAATAAATCTCTTAATTACTAATTAAATTATAACAATACATGAAAACATTTGTTTTTAATTAAAATAAAATATAACATGGTATATATTAGATTTACTGAATAGAGCAAAAAAGTCTATAAAATGTAAAATTTAAAACCTGTATTTGTTGTCTTGTTCTTCTTGCTTTGTTTTTAGATTTTTGTGAGTTTTTTATTTCTCTCAAATTTTTGCTGCATGCTTATTAAAACAACCTGTGGATTTAAAGAGGAAAACGTCCTTCAGTGGGAGAAAAATCATTTTAAAAACACAGAAAATAGCAACATGTCAGGCGTGTTTCTGCACCAAACAAACAGCCTGGATGGCAACGTGTGTGTGTGTGTGTGTGTGTGTGTGTGTGTGTGTGTGTGTGTGTGTGTGTGTGTGTGTGTGTGTGTGTGTGTTATCACCAGCATCCAGCCGCCGTGCGCTCGCTCAGATACTGTGTATGTTTCAACAAACTGCTGACTCATGTTTCATCACGCAACACATAGCGCGTGTGTCTGCAGCCTGCATGAGGAGCGGTGCTGAAGGGGAGCAAACCGATCCAGAAACATATTTCTGGACTTTTCTGGATGTTTTAAACGACGTGAAGGGAAAAACTCTGGAATCCAGCTAATCAAAAAATTAGAATATCACATAAAAGTCATTTTAGGAAGTGAAGATAATGTAGAATCACCACACAGAGAGATGCATCTAAACCTTTGTTTCTTGATTTTTGATGATCAAAGCTCATACATAATGAAAAAATGTTAGAATTGGAAAACTGGAAAAGACGTCGCTTTCTAATCAGCTGTTTAACTCAAAACTGCTGCAAAGGCTTCCCAGGCCTTAAAACAATTTCACAAGGAAGAGGAGGCACAACAAGTTATTGCTTAACAAATTGGATGTTCACAAAGTTCTGTATGCAAGCACATTAGCAGAAAATTGAGTGGAAATATGATTTCACTATTTTTGCTTCCATTTAGGCTGTGCCATCTTCTGAATGCCATCTTCAGATTACAGATTATTAATGTAATCTGTTGGCCAGATTTCATTAATAACAGAAGTGGAAGCTCAGTTAATCGGTTCAACTCATTTTAATGTAACAAACCATTAACTGACAATTAATAGTAAGTTGGTTAATGGGTTGCGTCTCTGTGTGGTTCTGATCCATCAATCCTCGTTGACGTAGTTCTGATAAATTACATTCACTCGCATCAGACAACCAGCGAATATTATGGCTCCTGAAGACAGAAAAACAAAGCCAAGTAAATTTCTTCCAAAAATCCAGAAATTTTCAAATTAGTCTCAGAAGATTTTAAGAGGGAAAAAGTTTGAAGAAAACTTGGAATTTAAAAAGTTGAACAACCAGACCAAATATTTTGAAACTCAAAAACTCAAAGGCTTTTGACTTTTGAAGCTCAAATCTCCAAGTTTTTACAGAAAATTTCTGAAGTTGATCTCAAAATTTTGTCTTGCAGAGTTTCACGTTGTTGAACTAAGAAATTTCCTTTTTTTTTTTGAAAAAAAAATAGCTTAATTTTTTTTTAATCTGGCAAGTTTTCAACTTTTTACACTCAAAAATGTCTGATTTCTGATACAAATTTCTGATTTTTTTTTTTGACAGAATTTTCTCTTCTTTCCCCCTTTGGGCCCATCGGTCGCCATGGAAACGGAGTCCCTGACCCCGTGACCCGGTGGTTACCTGCAGCTCGCACCAGGCCACCTCCACCGTCTTCTCCGTGTCCAGGCCTTTGTAAACCGTCTTGAACGATCCTCGTCCGATCTCGATGTTGAATTTCAGGAATCGCGCATCGGGAGACGAACCCACGGCTTCCGTCTCCTCCTCCTCGCGCGCATCCTGCTTCTGCCGTTGCCACGGCAACTCCTCCCTGGTGGAGTCGGACAGCGTGACGCCGGACTCCTCGGCCGAGTCCCAGCCGATGCTGAGCCCCGCGGCGGATTTATCGCCGGCGTCTGATTGGCTGGTCGGGTTGGCCGGAGGGCTCCAGCCTTCCTCCTCCTCCTCTTCATCTTCGTCTTCCTCGGTTCTCTTCATCGCGTCCATGTCAGGTGTCGACGTCATCGCGGCCCACCTGGGATCTGATTTCCGGCGCGATTGTGACGTCACAAAAGCTGGGCGGAGCTTCAAGAACCTAAACAGAGGGAAAGCCATGCTAATTTTTCACAACTAAAACATAATGTGTTGTTTAATTTTTCCTGTAAACATTTTAAAAGTTTTATTATGTCAAATAAATTGTTATATTTAAATGTTAATATTAATATTTAAATTTATATTATTTTCACTTTTCAAAGTGAAGACAAAGAAAATCAAATATCCAGTTATAGATCTGATTTAATCCCAGATTAAGGACAGATTAAAAACAAGAAAAAGAAGATTTTACATTTCGCTAAAAAAAACTCACTAAGTTGCTATTTTTGAGATTCAAAAGCCAAAAATGTTTGACTTTAGAAATGTTTCACTCACTTATTTGTGAAAGATTAAATATAATTTAACTTGAACAGTTTTTGTCCTTCTTTATGTCCAAACATTAAACTCTGAGTTTGTTCCTCCAACTGGATCATATCCTGATTATTTCTATTCTTTTGCATTTCTGAGTAAAGTTTTCTGGCTATTCTGAGTTTGGTGTAAATAATGTAAATATTTGTGTTGCACTCACTGTGTTTGTCTGCTGTGATCGGCTTCACACCGGAACCGGTAAATCCACCTGGCGGACCTTTAAAGTTCTGGCTGAGGTTCGGTTCTGAGCTGAGACCAGGTCCTTCTCCTCCTGTGATGTCATCGCCTGACATCCGCACACGCTATCTGCTCGGAACAGACCGCACGAGCGACAAGGAAGCCCCGCCCACCGGACACCTGGCTGAAAAAAAAAACGGGTCACGTGACTCATCAGGAACGGATCGATCATCCATGTGCTGTCTTTTTTTAAAGTTTTTATTTTGGTCAGAAGCCTTTTTCTGTTTTTTTTGTTTTTTTTGTGTGTGTGTCTGAATTTTAGTGAAAGTTATTATTTTCTTTTTCCTGTAAAAATTCCGTATTTACAACACAGAAACTAAAATTTTACTTTCTTAGAAATAAGGAAATAAACAAATACTTATATTTAAATAAGTATTTAAGTAACAAGTAACAAATACTTAAAGATAACAAATACATATCTTTAAGTATTTATTTTGATATTTATTTTACATTTTTATTTTTGTCACAAGTTTGTTTTTGTATTTTTGTGTCATGTGAATTGCAATATTATTTTTATTTTCCTATAAAAGTATTAAATACCCACAAATTTAACTTTGTCAACACATTCCTGTTACTGTGTGGGATTTTAAGAGTCTTTTACCTGATATACTAATAAAGGGTGTTGTGATTTTTATTTATTTATTTTTCTTATTTTGTTTTATACATTTTCTTTCTTTACTTTTCCAGTTATTTTTCAGCTGCTTCTTATTCTAATGCAGAATATAATATTATTTTGAATTAATTTTATTATTAATGTTGAGCTTTACGGATTTGCCCCACCCTAAATATAAAAATCTGTAACTCACAGATTTAAATATGTTCTTTAATCACTGCAACTTCTGCTCCTAACTGCCAAAACATGTAAAGGAAAAATAAACAATGACGTCTTCTGCAAAGCTAAAAAAAAATTTTAATAAGGTAAAAAAAAATTCCGCAATATAAAAATATAAAAAAAGAACATAACTTATATTGTTTCTGTATTTCTTGTTTCATCTGTTATTCTGGTTTGGGCTGTACTGTTGCCCTCTGTCCACCAGAGGGCAACATCACCTTAAGTCCGCAGCTTCCGTCATTTAATTTAAGTTTTGATATTTTATGTAAATCATTTTCTATGGTAAGTGGTGCATTTTATCATGTTTGAAGAAACCCGTATATGAATCTATCTATTTATTTATTTATCTATTTATTTATTTATTCATTTATGTATTTATTTATTTATTTATTTATTCATTTATTTATTTATTTATTCATTCATTTGTGTCAAATCTCCCTCTGTTGCTGCAGAGCTCAGCTCCATCCTCCGATGTAAGGCTGTGAGTATGAACAGTCTCTCTTTTGTTTATTTATTGTTTACTATTTAAAATGTTTATTGTTCAAAATGCCTTAAGACATTAGCGAATGTGTTTGTTTTAACTAAAAACTTAATGAATGATATCCAATCTTTAATGTAGTTCATAATTTGTTTTTTCCTTGACAATTTTCAAAATAAGCATAATAATAAACAACTTGATATGATGAAAGAAACCCAGTTTAAAGTGGTTTGTGTATAAAATCAGGCAATAACCTGAAAAATTGTGTTTTTAATGAAGAAATCTACTGTCTGTTCATATTTTCTTTTCCTCCTTGAAGCAGTAAACCTTTGATCTTTAATCCCAACAGGAGGATTAAGCAGATTTTCTCCTCATTAATCCGTTTCTTATCTCCATCTTTCCACCTTTATCCCTTTGTCCCGTCGTTCTTTCTCCTCTTCTTCTCTGTTTAATTTCCTGTCTTGTTGCTGTGACGTCATACACAACAAGCAGATGTAATTGGTGATCAATGATAATCGTTTCTGTGGCTCTGGGAAGTCAAAGAATCGCGTCATTTTACGTCATGTCCCGCTCTCTGACGCTCCTCATCCTCCTCCTGGCGATCCATTCATCATCCCTCCAGGGGGTGGCGCTGTGGCGCCGAGGAAACCGAGTGACTTCCATCAACGCCTGCCATCAGAAGGAAGCGCCGGACGGAGGACTGATGGTTCGCTGCAGCGGACTCCGACTGACCCAGGTCCGTCTGCTGGTTCCAGTGTAACCAGTAGATTCTGTGGTTGAGTTTCTGAGATGTCAAATTGATCAAACTGATCTTTTATCGCGATTTTTTCTGGTACTATTATGGCATATCACTATTGTGAGATATATATATATATATATATATATATATATATATATATATATATATATATATATATATATATATATATATATATATATATATATATATATATATATATATATATATATATATATATATATATATATCTCACCCACCGGCGGGTGGTTCTTATCCTCTGAGCTCATTTCCAATCAAACTGTCTGTTTTGACTTTCAATTTACTATTAATAACAGAAATTTGTCAAAGCAATAATAAATCAAAATTCTTATTATGATAAGAATTTTTTTAAATAACTGATAAACAATATGATGAGTGGGATTTTCAAGTAATCAGGCTTTGCATAATTTGATTTAATCATATTTTTTTAATTTAATTATGTTTATTGTGGCACAAACAGTGGAGAAAATAGTAAAACATAAAATCACTCTGGCAGTTTTGATTCTTTATTTACCACCAAAAGATGAAAATCATAATTCTTATTATGATAATGGATTTTTCACAATAAACGATACGATAAATGCTGGTGTGTGTTTGTCTCTCCAGGTTCCTGCCGGCCTGTCCAACCACACAACCCGCCTGTTTCTGAATAGCAACCTGCTCAGCTCTCTGCCGGCGTTCTGCTTCTCGGACCTGTTCCTGCTGGATGAACTGGACCTCTCCCACAACCAGGTCTGGGCAAAATTAGCTTTTTCTCCCCAATCAAAAACACAAAACTAATATGATTGTCAATTCTTTCTCTTTTACCCACACAACAATAAATTAGTCAAATAACATTGTGATGAAACCTGCATTATTATAACATTAGCCTTAATTTTTACAGTTTTTTAACTTCTTTGGCCCATTTTTGGTCTATAAAATATTTATAAATTCTGAATTTTCTTTTAAAGACTTTGTTGTGTTTAGCCAAGTATAAATGTATAAGTGTGTCACCCACTTCCTGTTTTCTGTGGCAGCTCTCCTCTCTTGAACCCGGGTGTTTCTCCGGCCTGGCATCGTCTCTCCGGTTCCTGGACCTCTCCTCCAACCTGCTCACCACGTTGGACCCGGCAGTTCTGGGTGGACTGCAGGTCCAAGCCAACCTGAGCCAGAACCCGTGGCACTGTGACTGCAGCATGCAGGTGGGCCTCAGGGCGGTGTTGGTACCAGACACACTGCAAAAACACAAAACCGTTCCAAGTATTTCTGGTCCAGTTTTTTAGTTCACTTGAAATAAAACTAAACTAACTTGCAAATAACTTTTCAGCAAGAATATTTTTTTAAATACTTTTTCTATTGGCAGATTAATTCACTTATAACTTGGGTAAAATAGCTTGTTAAAAGTGAAATAATCTGCCAATGGAATAAATAGTTTTAAAAAAGTAAGAAATTATTGACTGAAAATATGTTCTTATATTTGCTGAAAAGTTACTGGTAAGTTGTTTCTGTCTTATTTGAAGTGTACTGAGATATTTACCAAAACACTTGGTAAGATTTAGTGTTTCTGCGGTGAGGGACAGGTTACAGGTGACTTCCTGTCTCTGCCCAGGTGTCCATATCTCAGCTGGACATGGACCAGTCCTCTCTGGAGAAAGTCATCTGTCAGACTTCGGACCTTCCAAACCTCGGTACGTTGAGTCCGCCTGGCTCCTCATGTTCAAAACCTCAGAACCTGCTTCTGGTTGTAACTGTGTGTGTGTTTCAGGAGCTACTGGGCTTCCACTGGTCTTACTGGTGCAGGACTGGGATCTGTGTGAGTCTGTGAGGAGAACCACCGACTTCCTGACGTTGATCACTATGCTCCTCTGGTTCATCATGCTCCTTTCCTACCTGATCCACTACATCCGTCATAACAAGGTGGTGGCCCGACGACACATGGACTACCTGAAGTTCCTGGAGAGCCGAGACCCATTCAGACCCCGGTGACCCCGATGACCCCGGATGACCCCAAGAACGCTTAGCAAACCACCTCAAAGGCTGCTAAAGCTGCAGTTTGCAACTTTTATAAAAAATATTTGTTAAAACTTCCACAATTTCTTGACTGTCTGAAGAAATGAACCGCTCCCGTCCAAAAACAACCAATCAGAGCGAGGAGGAGGGTCTTAGCGCTGTCAATCATCCTCATGTTCTTACAGAGAAGAAAAAGCTTACTGCTACAGGAAAACCATTTATTCGTTGTCATCTGTGGCCATGCTAACTAGCTTTAGCATTCATGCTAACAAGAGCAAAGGGGAAGAGTTGAGAGGTGATTGACATCACTAAGACCCGCCTCCTGGCTCTGATTGGTTGTTTCTTGTTAACATTGGGCGAAGCCAGAAGAGCTCTAATTATTTAACTGTCATATACAGCCACAACTTAAAGACAATTTCAAAAAATATGTAAAGAATGATTTATAAAAGTTATACATTACAGCTTAAAGCCTGATTCAAAATGATTGTTTCTGATCCAAAAGCTACGTTCACACAGCAGGCACGTGCAAGCTATATCCAAATTTTTCACGACTGTCTGAACGGCTTAATTCTGATCTTTTCATGGAAAAAACTATCAGACATCAGGTGAACAAAAAAATATAAGGATTTTAGGAAAAAATAAAATAAAATTGAAAATTAGCATTAAGACTCACTGTGGGAATTTAGCTAAGTCCAATCAAGCCATGACTCCCGCAGAACCTTTCAGAATCATAAAACTATGGGTCAAAGTCTTACCAGTAGTTAATCCCTAGAAATTCTGTTTATTGGACGTTTTTAAAGAACTCCCACAGAACCAGATGGAGTTTTCCAAGGAGGTTAATGATGATGACAACAAACCTACAACTCTGAAAGTTTTTCCTTGCATACATCATCCTTTCAGAGCTCAGACTGTGAACTGTATATGTGCTTTTTCCATGGTGTTTCCTCCCAGCTCAGTGTTCACAGCCTCCTGACTCAGTCTGCATCTGTTCCCCTAATCGATGTGCTAAAAATCTCAAATAAATCCTGTGACGTCAGTTCAGGTTGGGTTCTTTGTGTCTGTGAGTCAGATTTCTGTTTCCGACCTGAACGTCTATGTTCAAATGATTTGAAAGGATGCATCGGTTTATTCCATCCAAAATGAGAGTATTTGTGTTGTACAAATGACTAAAACCGGTAAATACAAGTGAAATGGATCAGTTCAGTTACAGAAACCAGACCATATAATGCAGAAAGCAGTTTTTCCTACTGAAGAACTTTTTTGACAGAATTTAATTTATTTAGTATTAATTTTGAAATCTTAAAAAATATATTGAAAATGTGGTTATTATTATTAATAATATGTTATTTAGAATAATGATGTCTAAAAATAGAGAACGTTTAAAAATGATTTGATGTATAATAAATAGTTATTAATCTTATTGTATTCCTCATATAGAGACCTGACATAAAAGGTGAGATTTACCAATAATAAATCTCTAGTAATAACCAGATAATTAATCATTCTTCTTTTTCTAATAAAATTGGGTTTGTTTCTAATCTGCACTTGCGAATAAAAACAAATTCAAGTACAAATTAGTTTATTCATCAAAAGATATATTATTTTCCAAGTAAAAGCATGAACTTTATTAGTTTCCAGCGGCTGTGTTGCTTGAAGCAGGATCGAGTCATCTGGGATCGACTGCCTCTGCCTGCTGATTCCTCTCCGCCATCGACTGCTCTGGTCTGCAGAGTGAATACTGTCCAGTCATTGTGAGGATCAGCTTCAGCTGCTCCCGACATCGAACCCCTCGGAACCGCACAGTTCGGCCCAAACACAGTATGAAGGAGACAGCAGCCAAGCGGAGAGACAAGGCGGGCGGGCGGGACAAGTCCAACAAGGAGCCCAAGGAGGTGAAGCCCGCGATCGCGGCCGCGGAGCCACAGGACGTGGAGATGCCGGAGGAGGAGACGAATAACGCGGTGAAGCTGCCCAAGGAGCAGGACAGCCTCACGCTGGAGGGTAATCCTGGGTCTGATGTTCGGGTAGAACCGGGGGAACCTGTCCGGTACTGAAGTCCCTGTGGTTCTGGACACTTTACTTCACTTGTTAGCTTTAGCCTGTTAGCATAAAACCAATTCCTGCTAGATGCCGTAAAACAGCAGAAGGGGACGTAAAAACCTCCAGAGGCTGTTTTTATGTTGTTTATTTTACTTTTAGCGGTTCTAGTTCATGGCCCGACCCAAATTATTTTAGAGCACAACTAGTAAACGGTGAGACAACATTTCAGGACATTTTAGGATCCTGATGTCGCTTCTGCTGCTGAATCATTGTTTATCAAGGTATCAAATGTCCTGTAGAACCGTTTACGGTTCTGCTGGACCCGTCACTCCAGAATGGACCAGTTTAAGTCCATCTGTGTGGTTCGCTTGTCTTCAGATCCTGAAGGATTCAGTGATTAAGGATTAAAATGCAACTTTTAGGTGAAATCCACGACGTTGCTGCTGCAAAGTTCCTGAAAGAGAAGTAAAAGGATCACAGAACCGAAAGTAGACTTTCAATGTTTAAACTCTACTTTTATCTTTTTTTTTCTTTTTTTTTAATTTCATGTCTTAATGAGTCCCTGACTTGTTTGGCTCCAGAAGTGCAGAGTTGGATGTTTGTGAAGCTCCTCCCTTATCTTTATCCTCTTCCTCAGACATCAAGGAGCATGTGAAGCAGATCGAGAAGGCCGTGTCTGGGAAGGAGCCGCGCTTCGTCCTGAGGGCCCTGCGCGCGCTGCCGTCCACCAGCCGCCGCCTCAATACCGTCGTCCTGCAGAAAGCGCTCACCGGCTTCTTCACCAGCAACACCTCCACCAGAGACTTCCTGCTGGGCTTCCTGGAGGAGGTGAGCCGCTCTGATCCGTTTACGGCTGGATTCCTGCTCATCCAGCAGCCGGTGTTTTCACTGAGCCGTCCTCTGTCTGTGTCTCAGCCCATGGAGACGGGCGACGGAGACATCCAGTTCCGCCCGCGGACGGGGAAAGCAGCGTCGGCTCCTCTGCTGCCTGAGGTGGAGGCGTACCTGCAGCTGCTGCTGGTCGTCCACCTGACCAACAGCAAGAGGTACACCGAGGTGAGGAACACACACTGCTACTGCACCGGACCTCTAAATCATGAATAAATTATTGATTCTGGGCTCGGTGCTGCATCAGATTTTAATAACAAATGTCTGAAAATTTTAAGATTTTTTATTATTATTATTGGAACAAAAACAAAATTATGATTTTACAAGAATAAATAAATAAATTCTTAACATTTCCAGAATACAGCAGTAATTTTATGAGAATTTAAACACAGAAAAACAAAAAAATTATTATTTAAGCTTTTTATATTCTTACAACAATTTTAGATTTTTCTGGTGAAATTGAGTAAAATTACATTTTTGTAATTTCATAAAAATTTTAATGGCGTGGACCCAGTACTCTGTCGTCCAGCTCAATGAGGGTTGAGTTTAATTTAAAGCAATTTAAAAAAATACATTTTCTGTTTTTTGTAATTTTTATTTTAGAAAAGAAAGAAAGGAAAAAGAATAAACTAAAACTGGTAATTGGATCTGGTATTTAAAAAAATCTGATTTCTTTTTAAGCTGTGTCACCCAGCCTGTGCAGAACCTGATGGTGTCTCTGACCCTCTGTGACCTCTGTGACCCCTGTGACCTTGACTGCTTCTGTTCTGGTTTCAGGCTCAGAAAGTTTCTGATGAACTGATGCAGAAGGTGAGCTCCAAGAACCGCAGAGCTCTGGATCTGGTCGTAGCCAAATGTTACTATTATCACGCCCGAGTGTACGAGTTCCTGAACCAACTCGACACCATACGCAGGTACACACCCACACACACACCCACACACACACCCACACACACACACACACACACACACACCCACCCCACACACACACACACACACACACAAACTTTGTTCAGTCCAGTTGCATGTCGATTGGGACATAAAGGTTTCTTCATATCAGTTGAAATCAGGAGTTAGTGTGAATAAACTGTTTTAAATCAAAATAACATGTAAACACCAGCAGGAATCATAAACTCTTTAAACAGTTTTCAGCGTCTAAACTACAGAATCCGAGATTAAAATTCTTAGAAAAATTTCAGAAATCTGAGATTTTGTTTCTGATTAAAGTCAGAAATTAAAATAAAAAGTCAAAATTCTGAGATTCAAATTCTGACGAAAAGTCAGAATTATGAAGTGAAAATTGAGAAAAAAAAGTCTGAATTCTGAAATTAAAATTTAAAAAAAGTTTGAATTCTGAGATTCAGACTTTGAGATTAAAGTAAAAATTCTGAAATTGTAATTGAGAAAACAGTAAAAATTGTTTGGTAAAGTCAGTTTGACGTTATAAAATCATGATTCTGAGAATTATGAGAAAAGTCAGAATTTAGCAATTAAAGTTAGAATTTTTAGACAAAAGTCAGATCTTGTTTTCCAGTTTCTATAATCCTCTTTCACATAAATTTAAGGTGGGATTAGAACATTTTACATGTGACTTTGTGCCTCTGTAATCTCAGTTTTCTGCACACCCGGTTGCGCACGGCGACGCTGCGGCACGACGCCGACGGCCAGGCGGTGCTGCTCAACCTGCTGCTGAGGAACTACCTGCACTTCAACCTGTACGATCAGGCAGAGAAGCTCGTGTCCAAGTCTGTGTTCCCTGAGCTCGCCAACAACAACGAGTGGGCGCGCTACCTCTACTACACAGGTTGACACACACCTGCGGGAGGGGGGTGTGGGGGGGTTGGGGCTGCGGAGAGCTCACCTGTGTGTCATGTGACCCCTGCAGGTCGGATCAAAGCCATCCAGCTGGAATACTCAGAGGCCCGCAGGACTCTGACCAACGCTCTGAGAAAAGCTCCACAACACACTGCAGTGGGCTTCAAGCAGACCGTACGAACACACACACACACACACACACACACACACACACACACACACACACACACACACACACACACACATACCAAGAGACACTAACAAACACTGAAGCAATCAGAACTTCCAGGGACCGGTCTGGTCCATAAAAACTCCATTTAAATTTCCTAAGCTGAGAAGCTGTGTTCCGCTGATTGACCAGCAGGTGGAGCTGTTGAGTCATGTTAGATGCTCATTGTTTGTTTTGGCTTAAAATACTGGAAAATACTTTAATTTAATCAGGTGTTTTCAAAGTGTAAAGAGTGTTTGATATTCAAACTGCACCATTTGGTAATAAAGTTCAAACTAAAGGTTGATTTTAAAAAGCCTAAATTTCAGAAACATTTACAGATATTTTCATAAACCAAATAGAAAGAGAAGTATTATTTTCTCATTGTCTGAGGTTAAACTAAACTTTTATTGCTTTTAAGTTAGTTTGAATTCCAAAATTGCAATTAATCATGACTAACATATTTTTGAAAATAATTGTCAACAATTTTAAAAATGTATTTCTAATATTGTATAAAGTCATCATAGGTGGCTGAAGGAAAAGTGCAGAATTTGACAATTTTTTAAATATATTTTTTGTAACTTTCTTTGTATTTTTGTGTTTAAACATAGAATTTTAGTAAAAAAGTCATTTATCCTAACATGATTAGTTTGAATAATTTCAATGTAATGAATATTTTTTTATTCCTAATTGTGCAGTTACTTATTGATCTGTATATTTAAAATAAAGATTAGCTTATGTTTCATATATTATACTCTGAAATAATTTTTTTATTATTATTGTTTTGTTGAAGGGAGTACAAGGTGTATGAGAGACATTTCAAAGCATAAAATTTTCTTATACTTTAGTCAGAATGTGGAATACAAATCAAAAGATTTTGTTAATAATATCATTTAATAGTGAATAGAAAATGTTCATTTAATTTGTTTTTATCTCCCAACTGTGGAGTTGGAAACATTTGAAACCTTAAAACGATTGAAAAGTGTTTGAGTTTTACTGTGGGTGAACGTTTGGGCCCTGTTCCTGGTTCTGCTTGGGTCTGGTTCTGACGGGCCGGTCTCTGTTCCAGGTCCACAAGCTGCTGATCGTGGTGGAGCTGC